TCGGGATCCTGCCGCAGACAGAGATGAAGTGGGCGGAATAGGGGCGGGTGTGGAGTGCCTCATTAGCCTTTGTTGTGGCCGAAATACGAGGAAAGGCAATGCATATTTTCCCTTCAAGTTGATGCCACTGATAATCATTTCCAATTGTTGATGGTCTGTGTTTAATTAAATTAGCAACACTCGAGTAATTACAAGGAGCACCTACTCCTCCTTCCTTTCCCGACGAACTCGAACCCTTCCATTTTTCATGTTCCTTTTGGGGAACATCAATCATATGCCGAAACTCAAATACAAAGCCTGACGAAAAATAGAAAGAGAATTTCTAACTTTTTGCTTTCTGTGTCAGCCTCAAGAAGATTTATGGCCAAAGCGGGGATGAGATGGAGCCCCAGACCGGGACACATGTGAGTTGGCAAACCGAACGGCCAAAAAAAGGAACAAACCGAGCGGGGAAGTCCCCTAAACGAGGCTAACAAATGTAGTTTTGAGTCACATTTGGCTCAGCATCCGACTGATTGTTTAAATAAATGAGTCAGGGCCCCAGCTACCCAACAATTTTATTGATTTTGTAGTGCAACTTGTCGCCTCCTCATCCGCATTTAGGGTAGTTCCCCTCAAAATCGACAAGCCGTTGATTGATGGATGGTTAGGGCCTTGGTCATCCTTCGGAGCATATTAATTTACTAAGGAATTGCATTTTACTTTAGTTTTTATGGCCCGCATATTTCTGCCCCCTACGAAACCTTTCCTCCAATCTCTGAATTCTAACAAATAGTTTGCAATTATCCCTTCTGCGGAGATGTTACGCTTTGGGGATGAGATTTGGGCATCCCAAGAACACCCCGTCAGGAACTCATCCACTGCGATGGCGGAGTCTTCTCCCACGACATGTCCAGGCATTTGATTGAACGACCATATAAACATTTGACCGTCCATTCCTCACACACTTACAGTAGGTTCTCGCTATTAAGAAAGTGTTTAAATTGAGCTTGAAAGAATAGTATAAATAATATTAAGGAAGCTTTTTTAGGAAGAACAAAAAAAAATAATGTGAAAATTATTGACTTTATTTAACAAATCTAAAATCTATTTTTAAGGGTTATTTAAGAAAACTGCTATAATTTATAGATATTTCCATAATCTGCCTTACCTATATGGACAGACATTCTGCGTACATTAGAAAGACTCTTCACTGTATCATAAAAATACTTTTTCAAGGCAAAAAACTATATATATAAATGTATGTGGGGGGTTTGGTCGCATAATCGATAGTCATAAACATTAGAGCTTTAAATTTAATATCCCTGATGGCTTGGCACTTCCAAAAGGGACTCGCCCACAATGAGTGAATGTGAATGCTCCATTGGACACTGCTTATGTTATATGTGATGGCACAAGGGGAATTTATACTCGGAGAGTGTGCAACTAAATGTGGCATGACACAAGTGAATAGAACTAATTTTCTCCCTCTCATCGCATTCCCAGCGGCAAGACATGGCTGACAATGCAATTGATGGACAGGACATGAAATGATTTCGTGGAAGAACCCGTGCTATTTGCGGAACCAACTTTGAGGAATACAAATGTACTACAGCTGCTTCACAGAGTCCGCTTTAATAAGCCTCAAATTATATGGCAAACAGCCGCTTGTTTTTTTCTACTTTTTGCCCCGCCTTTTCTTGTCCGCAACTTTTTTGCCTGCACCAATTTGATTTTGTCATTAAAAAGTTTTTAGCGAAATAATAAAGTTTGTCAGCGCGGAATTCGAGGACCAAGCCAAAGGAAAAAAGATCGCCAGAAAGGAAAAAGGAAATCACAGTCCAAAAGTGGCCAATGAAAGTTTTCGTTGGACATGCAGGGCCGCCAGGACGGGACCAGGAAGGGGACAGATGGAGCCCAGAGTAAACTATGGACTGTGGTAGAAACCGAAATTGTACGCTTATCTTGGCAGAGTCAGAGATGTGTCCGAACTCGAGCGCGATATGTCGCAAATTTAAGCGCAGTCAGCTCGGATGAAAAACGATTTTAAATAACCTGCAGTCATCACTTTTTGCCAGCGAAAGTTTAATTGCAATTTTTTAATTCAATAAATAAAATGATAACTTTTTAAGTGATTCTGTTTGCTCTACCGAGTATGTTTTTTTCGTGTCATGTCATTGGTGGGGAAGTGATTTTTATATTACCTGAGGATATATTTATGCCAATTATTGGCATTTTTAAATGGTATTTATTTTTTAATCAAAATATTTAATTAACTTTTCATATGGAAATTAATGGATTAAGTGAATAATAATATTACAGTACACATAACTAAGAAACTCAAAGTTAAAAATCGTTCATAATATTTATCCAGAGAATTCTAAGCAGTAAATTTTAAATTATTTATTTCTTTACTTTAATCAATCTGGATTTCTATTTTAGTAAATGCAACTTCCAAGTCCCAGATCTTATTTCTAAATCTCTCAAGAGATCCTAAGCTTAATTCTGTCCAGTTTATACCAACCTGAACTTAATCTTCATGAAATACTGAGTCCGCCAGATAAAGTTGACCCGTAGTACCCCAGTCACTTTGAGCTTATTGAATTACATGGAGATCGTACCGATGCAGTTGCATAATTCAATTAGCATGTGGAAGAGTACAACGGGCCAATGCCTGCTGGCACATCCTGTGACCAACGTGACGTATGCGCAATGTGGAGGCTGCAACAGGAGGAATGTGAGCCAATGCTGCGTTATGAATTATATTTCAATATGCTTCAACGAGTTCATCATTTATTTAGCCCACTGGGGAGAACTAGCGGCAGGCAGGCAAATGCCAATAAAGGAACGAGCAGCGAGAATCCTTGAGCCCTGCCAGGGACTCGGTTGCAAGCAGGAAGCCGGAATGCTGCTGAGCCATTGCCGACGAGTGCTTAGCTCCGTTTGCAATTTCCGTTTTGTCACATTTGTCTAACTAAATGGAAATTTATGCAGCTCCTCGGCGCGTCGGTCGTCGTCAAGAGTGCCTGCCTCCGTGTTCATTTCTGAGTCTGGTTCCGGAGTGGGTTAATACTTTATTCACGGTCCAGCGCTTAATGAAAGAGTCATTACACTCATTCATTCATTCAATCGTTGATTCATTCATGAGCAGACGAGAGCGCGTGTCCTTTGTTTTCCAATTCCCAGCCGCTGTTGCCTCTGGAGCCCGTGTTGTTGTCGTTAATTAATTGATTTTCATTGATGCCTTGGTAGCATTAATCATACGCCATGTTGGCCCGTGCCCTTCGCAGGCTATTGTTATCCTCCAGTCGCGTACTTTGCTGTCTTTCTTGGAACTTTTGAGATGGGTTGGAGCTATGGAGCTATGCAGTTTTTTGTCAAAGTTTTTCATTAACGCTTCAATAGACGGCACAGCACAAGACGGGGAAAAAGATTGAGGAAAAGTTGCATCTGCAGCAAATTGAAAGCATACTTCGAGCAGGGAGATACTGCCATTGACATGCAATGAAACCCTAGAACAAAGGGAAAAAGTGGCATACCATCAGCTTATTGCAATTTCTTTTGCAATTTGAATTTACTTTTAATAAATTTTTATTAAGGATGAACTTACTAAATATATTAAAGAGCACACAAACATCGGATGAGCGGTTTTTCAGCTAAAGATCTTTCTTCAGATTTTAATTTATATAATTACCTGTAATGCTTTCAAAAGCAAAGTTACTTGTTAAATAAGCATTTTTTATACTTTCCCTAATCAAGTCCTTTGCTAAGGATTCATTACAAAGAGTTCCGAAAAAATACTTTTCCTTTCAGATACGCTTCGCTGACCCAAAAGAAGCAGCAATTTACTCGCATCAATAATTAAATTAAATTCAACGATTAAGCCAGTTTAATTGCATACCAGTGAATGCAATAAATTCAAATGAACTTTCTCATTTAAGGGTTTTGTAGACGCAATTAAAACAAATACAAAATAAACAGCCGAGAAATTTGCACTTTGGCCGCTGGGGTTGGCGACGCGTGAATAAATCATTTCCGCAAACAGCAAGCGGATTTTGCATAATAGATGGTAGGGCTTTATGTGCGGTAATGTTGCCTAAAATATGCATAACTTATAGGCGATATACATATACATTTATTCCAAGCCGGAAGCATCTAAATTGTCTCCCAGTCCCAAAAGGCGGCTGCCAACGCAGCTTAGCGCGAATCAATTAAATTGGCCTGTGGTCCGCCGCGGCGTCCTGACGGTTTCCATTTTCAGCTTAGTGGTTGACGTTTTGACAGTTTTATTGTAAGTCATTCGTGTTTAACTGCTTAAGCGAGGACTTATTTTGTGACCCGTTTCTGTCTCAAAATAATTACAATTTAATCAAATAATTTGGTGGCCCGAATAAATGGAAATTAAATGAAAGGTCATTCAAGTGTTTAAGCAAAAGAAAATCTTATCAGAAATATTTCTGAATTTTTAAATTTTAAGACTAGTAACTTGTACTTGGCGCATTGCAGTCCTGAAAAATACAAACAATATATTAAAAAATAACATTAAAATTGTAAAATACAACCAAAAACAATTTTTTTAATTTTAAACTCAATAAGCGATTCTGAATTCAATTGCAGACTGCATGGGTACACAAACTTCGGCTACCCGCAATCCGAAAAAAATATATATTGTGTATTTGTATTTGTAATTTAATTTTAATTTAATAAATAAACAATTAAATAAATGTATTGTTTTTTCTAAAGTGGCGCCATCTATGTGAATCTATGTAAAATTCATGTAGAATGCATGTCAAAATAAGTCTCTGGTAAAATAGTGTAATGTAAGTAAAATAGTTATCATTAGGAATGTAGAAACGTTATCTCTTAAGTTAAATCTTTGAATTAAAATTAAAAAAAGCCTTTAAAAAATAATTAATGAATTCTTTAATTTAAGATATCAAAATATAGTATTATTACATATAAGAAAACGAATACTACCTTTCATTTCATTTTAATGGCTTCTGAATCAGGACAACGTTTGGTTCCTTTATAATACATTAGCAGCATTTTATTAAATACTTGTTGAATTGTGTAGTACATTAATATCTATAATACGTAATATCTCAATCACAAGAGAGATTAAATATATATAGCTACATATGTATATAGGATATACTTAGACATTTCGAAAATTGTAAATGGCTAGCTAAATGAAACGACAACTTATCTCGATTAAATTAGTGATGATTTTCGAAATATACAACCTAGACTTAATTACAAACTAAATTAACAGTTCTAAATTATATCTAGTTTTGGTATTTGTACAAAAGATGAGGGCACAGCGATGGGTTCCCAAACGAAAACCCCCGAGAGCATATGAGGGAAATTATACTAATTCAAGGTCCGTCGGCATAACAGAAAATATATGGAAATGAAGGTAATAATGGCAATGCTAGTACAGCTTAGGGCGATCTATCGTGTGGAAGTACGTATAAATATATACAAAAGCTATCTATGTACATTAGGAGCTTGGATCGACTGTCTCTATTATTGCGTCTTCGTTTCGGCAGATCTTTTGGACACCGCATCACTCGTAGCTTCCGTTGGCTGCTCCTTGGGTTCCGGCATCAGTTCTCCGATGCCCAACTTATTGGGCAGTGCATCCGGCGTATTTATAATGCCGTACGGCCTCAGATGATAGATCAGATAGTCCAGCACGTACATTTGGTTTGGAGAGACGTAGTGGAAGGATATGGCATTGTCCGAGCAGCAGTCCAGACCCTGTAATAAAAGGAAAATACATTAATTTTCTCGTTTTTTCTTTATTTTTTTATGGCTTACCTCATCTGTTTTGTAGAAGATGTACTGCCAGTACCAGAACTTCTTGTCCGTGTGCGCTGGTATCAAATGGTGCTCTGGGACAAACGGAAAGAAGCGTCCCCGTCCATTGGAATCCCGGGAATCCCCTGCTAGAACCTTGACATTCTGCAGGCACTTGCCGATCTCCACATCTTCGGCGCCCGTGTTATCCGCTTTGCAGAGCTTGGGATTGGGCAGAGCCTCGACCACAAAGCGACGCACTGCCTCGCGGCTGAGGACATACCCGGCACCGCCGGACATATAGCCCTGCTTCACGTACGGCTTAAACTTGCATCCGAAGTACACCGGAGTCTCGGGATTATACGGATACAGCATGTAGCGCATATTCTCCACTATCGTGTAGGTGTCGTCGTCAGCTTTGAGGAACCAGTCGGCGTCATTGATATGGTGCTCGTAGATGTACTTGTAGGCCTCCTTTGTCTTGCCCCACAAGTTGTTGCGACCCTCGCCCACGGGCAGGGCCACTGCATTCAGCTCCTCGTCCTTGGCCGAGCTCATGAAGATCAGCTTGTTGCAGCGCTTTCCCCAGGTGCGCTTCACATGTCGCGCCTTCTTCTGGTGGTTGCTCGGACTGGTCATGATCCAGCAAAGCACTCGAACCTCGCCGTAGAGCCGCTCCGCAATGGTGGAGTTCTCGTGCGCGTGCTCATGGGTACCCACATCCTGCTCCGGCCCCGTCAGCTCCATCATATCGTGACTGTGGTGGGCATCGTTCACGTCGCCATGCCGGTGGCCATCATAGGGCATGAATTCGCTGCGTTCCGGTGTGGAGGAGTACACAAATAACTCCGCCAGGCAAAAGCCCACTACCAGACCCACAATGAGCGACACAAAAGATCGTTTATTTGAGCGGCCTGTAAATATAAATATATATAAATCTATTTTAATTATCCGTCAGCACGAAGCTCTTACTCACCTTCATTAAGTATGGACCTTCCCAGAAGACTATTGGCAGTCATTTGGCTTTATTATGGGATAATTCTTGCGGTGATGAAAGGAACTTATGGTTGGACTTCTGGGACCTGGACCTGCAGCTTCTTTGGTTGCGTTTCTTCAAGGCGGGGAGCTCCACTCGGGTTTCGCCTTACATCTTCTGCAATGCAAAATAGAGGTACTCCCTTAGTGATGCATGTGTGCTCACGTCAGTCACTCGATCACTAGTGTCAACTATCTGAAAATTGTGCTGGTTCTGCTCGGTCGAAGTTTGGTTCGCCTCCACTCGGCTTGGCCGAACTGTGCTAATCTCATGCAAAACGTGACAATTGCTACTGTTCGGAACTGCATTCTCCAGCTGCGCGTTGCTGATAAATATTTATTATTTCATTTTTTTTAAAACATTTTAGTTATTCTTATTTGCTCTTCTCTTTTTGTACGTGCCAGCTTGTGTGTATTTTCCCGGTATGGAGGGCTTCTCTTCCGAGATAACTGCCATACAGAAATTTTGCTTTTTGGCATACGTAAACATCATCGGCGAGCAGCCAAGTGTCTGCAACAAGTATGGCCATTTTCGAGCTTGTGTCGTAAAACTAACAAACAACATAAAATCTAAACAATTCGCTTGTTTTGCATGCGAAGAACAAATAGAAAAGCAATTACACTTTTGACACCATAAAAAAAAGATTATTTTCGGTTTAAGACTTTGTTTAGTTGGGGACTAGCGTGTCGCGAGTGCTGAGCAAATCAAACTCAAATCGGAGAAGTTGGGGCCGTTGAACTAAACACCTACATAATTAATGTTAATTGATGAAGTATATTTATGCTAGAAAGAGTGTAAATTTACACTGCCTAAATATAATATAGTTAAAGACCAAAATTATAGTGAAACAGACTTCTCCAGACCTGAAGCGTGAGATTAATTTCCCTTTCATTAACCATTACCGATCCACTTCGATTCGTTAAACTTGAACCGCCCAGCGTCACATTTATTAGAACAATTAAATCTTTGTTTTGAGCAAACAAAACTCTTTGTTTCGGAGCGTCTTTAGTCATTGTTTAGCAAATAGATCGTTTAGCACTCACTTATCAACTTTATTTGCATGGATGAAACAATAACTTTGGTAATATTAATAGCAGCAACAGGGCAAAACAGATGCGACAACAGATCTTGGCTTAAGCAAATCAGTTTTGAATCCGAACAAGACGGCACCTTGTCAAGAAATGCAGTCAGACAGCCAAAAAACCGAGTTTTTAAAGCAAAATACATTCAGTTCTGGGCTTCATTCTCTTTTGTTTCTTGCAGTTCTTTCAACCCAACAGATAAATAAAAGCAAAAACACTCATCCATATCTAGAGCCCTGCAGCCCTCCGATGTTTTTGGGTTTCAACAATATATTACTGAGTTTCCGGTGATTCACATGGGTTTGTGGGTTTGCCACTCCTAATTTGCGGGCTTATCATTGGGCCTCTATTCACAACTTATCTATAGCAACAATTACACTTTATCATCGAATTTGTGATAGCGTGATAGCGTTTGCTTGCCTGGGTTTTAATCACATTTTGTGGGTCAAGTTCTGTCGGCGCGATTAGTTTTTCGTACTGTCCATTATTGATATATTAGCAGACTTGATTTCGATGAAGTCTATTATTTTATACTCAAAGTGGTTTCTTGGTAAACTGATATGGTTATCAAGAAGGTAAGAAATCAATTAAGTTGGTTAAAACCTTTCGACATTTTCCAATCTAATTTTAACTACCTTATAATCATAAGCTTGATATAAAAAATTAAAAACAAAAACCAAATTTCATTCTTTGGATCACAAAGGGCAAAAAGAATTTATTAATTTTTTAAAGAAGTTCTTATAATAGGTTGTTTTTCCGTGTTTTGATTGTATTGTCAGTCATAAAGTACTTTCGATTATTTCCTACTCCCTTTATTCCCAGAGATCACTGTAGGTTCTGGCAGGTATGCATTGTAGTTTCTGTTTGAGCAGCTGGCCAATCTTAACGTCATAGTATCTCAATGGCAGGTAAGCTCTTATTACAGACGCACATATAGCTGCTCATTATTAATTCGGTTATCCAAGTGAGAAGTGCGATAATAAAATGATACCATCAAAGATACAAGTGCCCTGGTCCTCAAGAAAAGGTCTCTAGAGTGTCCTACTATTTTAAACCAGATTTTAATAAGGCCTTCATATTTCAGTGTCACTGGGTCAACTTATTTTGACTTTTCTGCTGGGATCAATTGTGTTTATCGTCCTGGTTAAGCTCGTATCTGTTCCACTGCGCATCGATGACTTCGACACCTTTCGTTTTAGGGTTGGTGAGAACGATGATGGTCCATTAGCAGGTCAAGGACGTGGGCAATCCGAGATGAAACCCTGAACGTTGCGTTCTACGAATGTTCTCAATTGACAATCGTGACATGGCAAATCCCACATGTGGGGGCGAAACGGACCTAAATGTTTGCCCGACTTGCTTGGCAATTTCCAGTTGCAATTGTAATTGCAAATTAATTAAATTTAGGCATGCCCAACCTGACAGACCCCCAGCTCCGTTCCAATTCAGTGTGCAATTGCAATTAAACGCAATTTAACAGCATATTTACCTATCATTGTTGCCGACTGAGAATTTCGACTTCAAGCTGGAAGCTCGATTTGCTGTGCCGAGTCCAAACAAAGATGCACAATCTAAACCAAATATTTTACATACAGATAGGTAGTCTAATTTTAGACCCATTGCCATCGTAAAACTTTTCACATGCACTGCAGCCACCAATTGAAAAATTTGCAGGTGAACAAAAAAGAAAATTATACAATTATAACTTTATTTCGTAACACGAATATGAACTCATTTGCCAACGTGCCTTTAATTCAAAGCATTTTATTTGTATTGTTCAACATATTTGATATCTATTGTGATTAGTTTTATTTATGCAATTACGCTATCATGTCGTTATCATTGAAAATTATATTATTATAGTGATGCTAGGTCTGTAAATGATGGAAAAAAACCCCTAAAGCTAAATGCCTTGAGTGCGCAATGTTTAAAAAGATTATTTTAAGATATGATTTTTTAAGATTAGTTATATGACTAGAAGAACCTTGTAAAATAATGCGGTATGCCCCAAAAACTACATGTTATCATTAGTGTGGAAAGCCTGACAAAATACATTAATATGTTAAATATGGTTACAGTTAACAAATTATTTAAAATTTAAATTATACATATTCTTCCCCTAAAATAAAAATTAAAAGAAAAGCACAACATTGTACATATCTTGGAATTTAGACGAAATTGCCATAAAAAGGTGATGAATGTTCTATTTAAAGATTTATTCTGTTTGTATCTCGAAAAGTTAAGTGAATTTTTCGCTTTTAATATATTGTTACCATAATTCATTTATAAAATATTAAATGTGTTTAGTTTTTATTTTTAACAACAACAATTTCGGACTCAGCTAAATAGATACTGAAGCATCTGTTTGTTAAAAGGCAGTTAAAATAAATGTAATATTATTATGTCATTCCGTTAATAGAATTTCTATTTTTGCCGCCCTATACTCAACTCACATTAGCGTGACAGCGACTGCACTCAGAACAAAAGGCGAAACCAAATAAAAACCCAAACCAAACCAAAAAGCAAACCAATTGTCAAATTGTTTTGTTAGGCCTCCATTCATCTGAGGGCAATAAAATCAGCCACGCTCTGCGATCCCGCGAATGTTTCAATTCTGTTATTGTTTTATTGCCATATGCGGCCCATTTTAGTTCACTTCACTTTCAGCGGCTTCCCTTTCAGATAAACAATAAAGCTGCCACAATAGTTGCCCGCTGGTTATCAATGTGGAACCTTAACTGCTGGGAATTGTTATCGGACACAAAAAAGAAATGTGGCTTGCATCCGTTTCAGAAACTCAGTTGTTTTCCTCAATCAGTCGCTGTTCACATATGTAAAGATTTATCTTATATCGAGTAACTGAGTTCTGATGATGACTAATTAGGGGAGGCCAAATTGAACAATATTTGCATTTGTTAATTAGCTTTATCAATAATAAAATTTGTAGTAAAATTCTGTAAGTAGAATATACAAAGAGCGGTACATGCTTCAAATTTTAAAATAACAAGAACAGCTTTAACAATCACATAATTACAATTTAATGTATTATAAAGAACTTTATTAAAAACTACTAACTACAAACTATGCGAACTATCTAAATTCGACTTAAAATGAATTTCTTTGCTAGTTTGTTCTATTGACAGTTAGGTTAGCTCTAAGCTGTGTCAGAAACCTGTTGTATACTGTTTATATTAAGAACCTAAGCGTTTGTAAAGTCAAACATTTTTATAAACGACAACGACAAAGGTCGTTTTCGGTTCTAAATGAAAACAGTTTGGTTCTCAAAATTGCCCGCTGATTGATAAATAAAAGAAATCTTTTCAGCTATTTCTTACGTCAAATGTCTGGATTGGCCGAAATTTGAAGGGTATTGTTTTGCTTTAACCTTGAGGGCATTGAAACTGCCTAAAGAACGAAATGACCTACATAAATTTTGAATGGTGAAAGATAATTTTTATAACATTAAAGTGCAATAAAAAGTATCTAGTAACATCTTTTTAATGTACTCTTAAATCTTAAAGTAATCAAGTGTCACCCCGTTAAAGATACAATTCATGGAAGCCTCTCCTCTAGGAAATATTCCAGCACGAATCAGCGCAACTTAGCTGTCATTTCAAGTACTCCGTTAATAAGTACTTTGATAATGATTGCAATGGAGCTGACGAGGTCAAGTGGATAGAACACACAATACCCTGCTTGTGTATACAAAAGATTAAAGTATCCAATTATATGGTATTCCTTTTTAAAGTCTTATAATAAGAATTCTATACATTTTACTAAGTTAAATTTTAATCAGTTTGGCCAAAGTGAAATGATCACGGGTCGTCAATGTGGCATGGGCAATAAAATGTAATTTTTATCTCAGAAATAGCCCCATTAATTTGTTCACTCATACAAATTTAATTCAATTACAAAAAGGCCACAAAAATGGCTGTGGATAATTACAATGGTGTCCAAAAATATACTACAATAGATTTTATGACATTTTCATATACGGAGTGTTACATACACGGCTAAAAAAAGGAATTGTACCCTAGAATCTCTAGAGATTCACGCCCCATCACATATCCCCTTTCATCGGCAGATACCCAGCAGGCAGACCAGAAGCCTGGAGCTCGGTCACTCGCCGCTGTTATCAGTGCCGCTGCAGTTGAACGGCAAATCAAGGGTGCAATCTGCATACGAATTAAGCACAACAACAACAACAACAACAGCGGCTAATCAGAGAGGCGTCAGACAATCACATGTGCTGTGCTGGAGATAAAGAGGGTAAGGGTACAGGCAGGCAGCAGAGACGCCCTCGGGAATTGGAACCACAAATAAATTTAAGTAAATGCAGTTCGGCTGCAGACAATTCACCCCTGGAGTGCAGAGGGGTGGGCGGGAACAGGGGGTGAAACTGAGCACATAACGTGACAGCAACAACGGAAATGACAACTAAAGAGAGCCGGAGAGCGAACGAGGATGGCAAAGGAGACGAAAGGGAAAGGCAGCTGTTTGGGGAATGTCGGCATATTAAAAATAACAACAACCACCAGGATAAGGCATGACGAATAAAGATCACGCTTCCCAAACCCAAAATAATATCAAATATTTAAATATCTTTTTTTATATGTGTGCGTAGTAGCCCTCGTATTTAAAAAAAAATAAGTCTATATTTAGATACTCTATATTTTTAAATTACTTGAAACCTAGACAACTATTACGGATTCATGGATTAATCATTTTACATTTTTATAATTTATTATTATTATTATTTACTTATCATTTGATTCATTTTGTATAGCACATACTTACGTATTGTAAATGTGTTTTGAATTTTAAATCAAAATCAACAAGAGGGCACTTGCAGTTAATGTTGCCGTTTTGGCGTAAGAGAACTACACTGAGAGGTTTCCCTCAGTTTTTAGCATTAAATTAACGCGCTTCTGAGGAACTTAAGCACGTTTGCTTAAAAATTCTCGACACGGATTAAGAATGTATTCCTTGAGATCCCTTAAGCCTTCAAAAGCACGTAGCACTCCGCGTTGTAGCGAAAAAACTGGTTTTGGTTAGAGGCAAAAAAGAACCTTTTTCAATCATGACTCCACAAACTTAGACCGAAGGAATCGGAGAACAAGGACCGCATATTTCTGATTCATTATTTCACTTGACCAACAACGGCGTTCTTATAGTTTACACTGCGCAATTGTATTTTTATTATCTTTTGTTTTTCTTCCTTGGTTTTCCTCGCGCTTTTCTTGTATTAAATTTTCGTTATCCGCTGCGTTTTTTGTTTTGATACGAAAGTTTTTGCTGACTAAACTATTTTTCGTTTCGTTTAATTTTATGTTTTTCACTGAAGTGGAATGGAGGAACTGCAGCTGCCGTTACTTACAAATTGATTTTTTGCACAATTTCTCACATGTTCTCCAATCGCAGGACGCTTTCAATTCCGGCGATTGCTCTCACGTTTCGCTTTGCCAATTAATTGCTCGGCGTGTCATTCGAGCAGTTGAATTGCGTTAATCGAAATATTTAATTAAACTTATTTTCTAGACGAGCGTAGAACTAAACATGAGCGAACGCGACGAGTTGGGAAAAAAAAGTGCCGCGAAATTCTATAGCTGCCTCGAAAGCCAACGAAGAGAGTGACTAAGAGAGCGCACGCTCGCTCTCTCCCTCATACTACGTTTCTTTGCGCAGCAGTGAGAGGGAGAGAGATGGCCAAATTGCCGGCTGCAACTTTGCCGCGAGAGCGCTTAAGAGAGAGCGATAAAACAGATGTTTGGGAAATGGCCTATTACTATTAATAAATACTTTTGATAAGTAGTAGAAATATAGACTTGTATATAATATAAATTGTAAAACATGCGTTAAGTGCTTTATTTTTTTTTTCCTTGATTTCTTATTGCCTTTATCTAGCATTAAAGCAAAAACAGCTGTTGAGATTAAGAGTTTAGTTTTAGGCAGGAAAATTTCCTGTAGGCTGTTCTCTTAAATTTTTAAGGAGTCCCGGAAATAGGGAAAGTCCAATATTATTTGTTTTATGTGAAATTATTCACACATACTTATCAGATTAAAAAATATATTAATATTTTTTTTTACAAATTTGTAATCTATAAATCGAATAGTGCCAGTAACTTGAAAATAGTTCGAGTTGGGCACCAAGATATTTACTAAATTTTGTACCGGTCCACTTTTGCAACAGTGAGCTTATCATATAACAATTTGCTATCGATCTTTAATGATAAGATATTGCAAACGTCTACATATGCATACTCAGTAACTGTCAAACATGATAAGAAAAGTGCGCAGTCAATTAGTCAGATAATAAGTGAGAAAATGTTTTCACACCTTGACATGAAATGGGAGTGGTTCTAAAATGCATTGCAATAAATATTGCATAGAACTTTAAACACATTTTGTTCTGTGTATATGTGGAAATATAATAGTAATACTAAATCTCTTTTGTTAGCCTTTTTGAGCACTGAGCATTAGAAACCTATCTTGTAAATTGTTATTATTAAAGCTGTTAAGGTACTAAACTGATCATGGTAATATGATACCTTTTTATTTAACAAGATTTATATTACTAAAAGATTTTGTTTAAAATTAATACCAGTTCTTTTGTGTAATTTTACATTCTACACATGATTTCTTTAAACTTAGTGTGTAGTGAAGATCAGTTAGGACAGCAACCAATTGGGTTTTCCGGTGTTACCAATCGCTGGGTAGAATAAATTCTAATTTTTTATGGTCACTTTTTAACGTTATTTATTTAAATAAATAAAGAATAAAAAACAGATATTGTATTATAAAAAAAATTATATTAATATAAACTATATTTATTTAAACAAAATATATTTACAATATCTTAATGCGGGGATGAAGCTCTGGTTTAATCTATTATTTTTAATTTGACCCCCATAAAAATGCTATTTTTAATATTATACCTATTTATTTATTTGACTTAGTACAATTATTTCCGGTTAGCCTAATGAAACTAATGATAATCCAAGGCACTTTGTTTGCGCGACATATTGAACGCCATAATCCGACAGACTATAAAGTTAATTAATTCATTTCTGATGACAATGTTATTTTCCATTCGTTTGTTATGCCAACTGCAGGCCGACATTTTGTGTAAATATTAACATTATTCCCGTGGCCAAATCAGAAAACAAAATATCGAGTCACACACAAGCGCCCAGCAAATAAGCATTTGACTTGTGTGTGAATTAATATAAAATAAGAAAAATCAACAAAATTGTTTTCTGCTTTGAAATTAGGGACCACTGACAATATTCTGCTCTATGATTGTGCCAAAGGCAAAATGCCTGCATTGAATATAGCGAAGAGAACGCAATTATGGCTTTGATTTTCCCTTTTAGTATTGCCTTTGAAATTTATTTAGATAGAAATGCGGAATTTAAGGTTCAGCTGGAAATTCTCTTAATAATAACAAAACAGTGAAGCTTAACTAAAATTAATAATATCAATTCATAAATTTTACATAGTTTATTATCCTGAACTCATTAAAAGACAGAGCTTGAGGTTAAAACAGAAATTGTAATCATTTGAGTCTCGGTATCGATAAGTACTACAGTTCCCACTTAAATGTACATTATTCTATTAGTATTTGTACACGATATACAAATTTTGTTTCCTAAACTTCTAAAATAAACATTCAGTATTTGTAGACATTTAAATGCTTGCGTCTTAGGCTACACTTATATTACACACTACGGATATTGATTATATTCTGTGAATTGCTAAATATGAATTGGTCAGACTGTTCATTTCGCGTGTATAATCGATATTGGATCCTATGGCTACTTGAAAAGCTCTCGTTTTGGGGCCTGCCATCACGTTGCCACACTCACATGCGCGTATATCACCCAGTTACCTCACTATAAATATCACAAGGCTCCGCCGGAACGGATGGGGATTCAAGAGGACTACAGGAAGGAGCAGCACAGGATCAGGACGAGCACCGTAATTGGGAAGAGGGCATATATCTCGCTGCGCGGATGGCAGGTGGATATTAAGTTGGTGATGTCGTCCTCCTCGTGCTCGATTCCATCTCTCGTTGGCACCTCAACCACCACGATTTCATCCGAGAGAAAGCTGATGTTGAAGGTGCAATTCGTGGTGTTCAGGCAGCTCTGGGACTCGCTCAGATTTGAGTACTGATAGGTTGGCTTATATATATCGAATATGGCGTGGATCTCGTTCCGTACGTGATCGTTGTCGCTGTAGAAGATGTAGTAGTAATAGGCATCGTCGGTCACATTGTGCACAGCCACGGAGCTCCTATTTCCGAAAGTGTCCATGACGTGCGGATTGGAGCACTCGTTGCTCGGCCGGAAGAACTCCTTCAGCAGGATCATTCCGCTGAAGCAGTCCAGTAGTCCGGTCTCGAAGCTGGACACCGAGTTGGACTCGTCCGTTTCCGTAAAGTTAATGGCATTGCCGCCGTGCACGTACTTTCGATCGTAGACATTCTCCCGCTTCGTTCTTTTGTAGAGCTTCTCGTAGAGCTCCTGCCTCCTCTGATGACCTTGAGTCCCTGCCATGTGTCTCCTGTGACGATCTCGATGGGTTATCTCGTGGGTCTGACTTGAGTTGTGAGTGCTGGGGTGTTGCTCGTCAGGAGTTCCAGCTGATGAGTGATGGTGATGTGTTGCTACTCCAGAGTTGTGATTATGATGATGCCCATGCTCAACGATCTCGGTTCCGGAGTTCTCTATTCCAATGTGCACATCCTGATCGTTATGATGAATGGTGCCCTTTTTCAGTTTTTTCCTTATCAGTTTGGGCGTTGTTCCTGTACTGGCTGGCCTAACCGATATATTCACCAACGGTTGCGCAGGATCCTCGCTCAAGTCCTCGCCTCCGTGGTTCTCGTGCTCCATTAAAACGTCCTGATTGCTCTTTTCCTCGGTGATCTCCACGTTATCCTCGAAGAACACCTTGACCTCTTCATGGCCGTTGGCATAATTGGCCCCTAACTTGTTCTTATTGTGATCGGTGAGGCCACACAGGTTAAGCTGCCGCTGGCCCTTGACGATCAGGATGCGGGAGCCATCATAGCGGGAGCAAAACTTGACCCGCACCTTGGCCCCCTTCAGCAGAAAGAAGCCCCAGTACTCCAGGGTGTCGTCGGGCAGGGTCATCGACTTCTTCAGTCTGATGTGTTTGCGGTTCGTAGAAACCTCGGGCTTGTTGCGCAGCTGAAAGGCATTGAAGTTTGAGCTCATCCGGAGGGTGTGCTTCGAGCAGAAGATCGAAGAGATTCCGGCGCGGATCTCAATGATGTCCGACTCCGCCATTGGATAGATAACGTCCGCGAAGACAGTCTTCCGCAGATGCAAGGGCATGATGATCAGAATGGCCGGCAGTATCACAATCATCAGGCAGAAGATTAGCACCCGCTTCACCCCGTGCATCTTGCGGGTTTCTGGAAAGAGTGAATAAAGAAAAACAAGTATTACTATCTGGTTCTGATAAGTTAAGGGCCTCAGATATATTCTATTTATATAAGCCAATCCGGTCTGGCACCTTCAAAGTGATACTCCGTCAGGGGCTGCATCTTGGCGGCACAGGATCTTCCTTAGGGTCTGTGAAAATTACTCGCGAAAATAGTACGTCTGATTGCCGGACAGGTTTGTTGCTCACTGTCTTGATTGTGCGATTATCAAATTAGTCTGGCCGGTCGGTCTCAGTTTGATTTCACGCCTACCGCCGCCCGACGCCCCCTGCCATTCCTTTTATCTGGCTAGCCAAGTATTTGTGAGAGGCGAGATTGTATCAACAGTCCGCCACGAATGTTGATATTGTTCGAGTGTATAACTAAGCTATTCACAAGATTCAATTGGCAGGCTCGGATCGATCGATGGCCAGGCAAGTGGGCAGCAAGTGACAGTCCACTGTTTGATCGATGTTTAGCGACCCACGACAACGGATCATCCGTCTCTCCGCTTAATTTTTGCGGAAAAGATTTGCTTATCATTGTTAACTGAGCCAGAAGTAGAACAGGAGCGGACTACGAGAAGGAGGGCGTTTAGAGTTTTAAAATATGTAACCTTTCAAAACAGATTTTGATTTATTTATCAACAAGTTTGGGTTGAGTTTGGGTAGAACACAAACTTGTAACCAGTGATTTTAAAGATCATTACTCTTGGAAAGAGAGACATTATTTTTTTTTGCAGATTTATTAACCTCGAAATCTGACTTGGTTACGCATTTCCAATATATATAACGTTATCGGGGGCCTTTGCTAATTACCGACTGCCTATTGATGCCAACATTGATAAGCCATGTTTTTCCTCCATGAAAATGCTGTTAATATTAGTCAGGTCTTATCGACGCCAACGGGTAAATTGCGATCATCAACTGCTATATATAATTCCATATTCCATAGCTCACACGAGTTATTTTTTATTTGTCACGTTTTTGTCGAGTGCTTTTTGAACCCGACAAAAATGTGCTTAAAGCCATAAACAATATCTCTTTTCTCTCTGCTTATCAACTAAATATGCATTGTGTGCCTTGGCTATATGAGATTGCTAAAGAAAACTTAATCAGTTATACATAATAGTGAAAGTATACTCATAAAAAGCTTAATAAAGAGTATTTTCTTTAAATAAATAAATTTTATATTAAGTGTGAATTAATGTAAATTGAGCTGCAACTTACAACATGAATAACAAATAAACTTAATTAAGATTTGTTTGTTTAGCATATTGTTTAAACCAGATGATAAAATAATCTAACTTTAAGAAAAGTGTCAGAGATAAGAACTGAATTTAGTATAGTGCTTGAACTTTGATTTAATTGAAGTAAATTATTTCTCTTATCCACCCAACCCACTTGATTCAACTTTAAAAGCTTTAACTTGACTCACTTTAGCTTGGCCTATTTTTTATTAAAGTTTACCATCAATATTACTGCTCGATAGCATTGCACTTAAAAATTGGTATTGCTAAAAGAGAAATATAGAAATACCAATATAGCTCTATGTCAGCATTTTCCGGTTTTTATTTTTCTTTGTCAGGGTTTTCCCAGGTCTTCCCCATGACAAAGACCCACATATGTGGACTCAAATAATGCCATAGGTCGGGCATTATTCTGGTTTTCGCTTTTGTTGATATTTTTCGCGAGTTTACCTATATTTCTTGTGTTTTCTTTGTAACGCTATAAAAAAAACCTGTTGTGCCTACACTGAATATAATTTTTTTTTAATTTTTAAATGGTTTTAATGTTTTTAAGGTGGACAAAAAATTAATATTAAAAAAGGGTTTCAAATCGAGCTCTCTATAAATTAAATTAGTAACAAAAAAATTGTTTAAAATGTTCGCAATATTTTCTATCAGTGTGGTTTTCTTGTCTAGTCTAGGCTGAAGAAAACCTTGGCATTTCCTTAGCCGGTTTTTTCGGGTTCCGAAATTAAATTTTGTTGGCTAGTCTCGGAAAATGCATTTGAAACGCTAGACCCGCTGCAAGCACCTGTGGAGGTGTTTTTCCCGTTTGTTTTTGTCTTTCGATTACCTGGGCGTGGGAATCGAGTCAAATTTACACATTTGGTCTTTGATATAGTTACTGCTGTAGTTGTTCCCTTTAGTCGGTGGCCACTTACATTCTTCGCGTTGCCCTGTCCTTCCAATAGTTGCACTATATATCTGGGATTAGCGCGGGAGCTGACGTCAAAAGGGTGGTGTGCTAGTGACAAGTGCGATTTGTTGTGAATTTCACAGGCAGTTGTTTTATTTCGCGTGTGTTTCCTTCAGGGCTTCTGTTTGCTGTCGCTTGTCTATCAAATAAGTGGCTTCGCTGAGCAGATATCCAAAATTAGACGGATGCATTGGGGAGCGGGGGCGCACGTGCATCTTCCCATGATTTATTATCAATAGCAATAACAACTGTTTTTTCCATCGCTCGGCTCTTGTATTTTGACACACATTCTAATCAACAATTGTTGTTGTCGCTCTCACAGTTTGGCTGCTTATCGCAACGCTCTCTCCCACGTTCTCCCTTAGTCTCTCTCGTCTAGTGTTAACACATTTTGTTTCCGCATATCTTTGTTTGTTTTCTGATTATATTTATAATTATATGGTCATTTTAATTATTGCTTATTTCACGAGGGCACATCACGCTCTCGCCCATTTTTCCAATTGATTCAATATTTATTTGTCTTTAATATTACGAAATTTTCATCGCGGCAGTGGAAAAACAATAAGCGATGCAGTTATTGAGACAGAAAAAACAGAACTGAGAACTGCTGCAACGGAAAATTTAACCCCAAACAACAAAGACGTTGATAGCGCAATACGCTCACGGGGCGCTCTCAGTTTGCGACCAAAATGAAAGAGACTATTGACTATCTCTCGGAAAACTCTCAGTGCGATAAAACACTAAGAGAAATATCGTTATTGTTTGACGTGAAGTTGGCTGCGATTAATGCCATTTGGTTGGAAACTCGACTAACCAATTTCAAATTATTTTTCAAGTGCCAGAATGAAATATCAATCAAGACTTTTATATAAGATATAGTAGGTTTTCATATTCATAATAATAAAAAATAAAATAGACCACCTCTTAGGAAGGTGTATTACTTATTATTTTTAAGAGGAAATAAACATCATTGCGTATGATATATATAATACATTTTCATTGATTTTTATATGTTTTAAATACAAATTTCAAGTTGTATGATGAAAGTCTTTACATTGGATTTATAAAATTAAATGGGTTTACTTCAAAATCAAATAATTGATTTATGGTTTTAGCATTCAATAATAAATAATTTACAAATACATTAAATATAAAATAATTAATACAGAATTTAACTATAAATAAATTTCTTGGTACTATTTGAATCAGAAAAACCCATTTATATATGAATGGATAATACATAGATATAGCTTAAATATAATATACATTTACCCCCACAAAGAATTCCCAGTCTAGAAGAAGTGCCAAAAGTGAGAAGACAGATTCTAATCGGCAAGATAAATATTTTAATAAAAAAGATTTGGAAGATTGCACAGAAAACACTTCATCACACTGACACCGAATTTCATTTTATTCTGCAGAGCTTCCTGAGATTTAATTTCGATATTAAAATCGAAACAACTTACTATGCAAGTCCGGCATGGAGTAGTAGAAATCCGTGTGGTAATAATGCAATTGTCCGGGGCTAATGGACGTTGTCCTCTTGAACATCTTCTTATTGGCCATTCTGAACGCAGAATGGAATCCTTTAGAAGGACTTGGCGGAAGTCAAAGTAGAACCGAACCGTGCGAATGGCCGCGGCGAACTAACCGCAGAAATATAATCCGAACGGGGCGGCGGCATCTGGGATGACGATGACGCCTAATCCAAACAGACGTCGGCCTGTCTGTCCGTCTGGGGGCCTCATCCGAAGATAGACTGATACTGAAACTGGCACTGATACGGATACCTTCGGCCTATTATCATAATGAATTAGTAAACAATGCTATAAAGTCTACTGAACATGCAGCCTACCCAGGCATTCAATTGATAAGCGGTTAATTGTGATTGTCAGTCTAACCGGCAGTGACAATGACTCTGGACCTGAGCACACACCCACAAATATATGTATATTTATCTGCGGATGTGTTCCTGGCAACAGTGCTGTCAATGACACCTCGATAGGAAATTAATAACAAACGTTTTTTTTATCATTTTGTATTGCAGTATCTAGTTTCCGGAGATCCGGTTTAAATTGAAAAAGCCAATTTCAATCATTTTTTTTTTTTAATTACAAAGCTTTGTAGCATATATTCATTCATTCATTTTTACTAATAATTTAGGTACTTTAAAAAACTTTTATTAATAAATTTGGAATTTTTCCCTTGACTTTACGATACAAAATGAAAAGTAACAATGTACTATATGTGAATTGCTTGCTATCAACTGAGCTCATCAGTTGCTTTTTACTATCTATCAGATACCCAAACAGTTAGGTGACACCTGCCAGCGTCATCTGCACACAGAGATAAAATCGCTAATCGCCGCAGCCATCTACAGATCCTCGTATCAAGAGTTTGAGACATTAAATAAATGAACAATTTATGCTTCCAGTGTATCTTATCTAGTGCAATTTCCTTTATAAGCCGTGTGGAAAATTTTGCATCTGAAGTGCAGTTTGCCAGGGCTTCATTGCTTTTAGGTGGCCTATTGGTGGCATTGTGGATTGCTGTTTTAAATTGTAATACTTTGAAATGGAAACATGCGTCATGATTTCTTCTTCGGATGGAGGTCCTTCAACCAGGATGGCAGCCAAAAGGAAAGGTAGGTCTTGAATATCTACCAGCGATTTCTTAAAACAAATAAGAATGGATCTGTATTAGAACTAAAACTTTAATAGTAATGTTGAGAATTATAAAGTTAAAAGTTAGAAACTCGCTGTATAGTGTAAATAAAATTACCTAGACCAATTCTCCAAATTAATTAGTCACGATTTTCTTTAGGAATATGGTAAATTTACTGTGAAATTAATTTTTCTCGGTTTACTTAGCCGGTTCGTAGAAGAGGTTTCAAAGTTAGTTATACGTTAAATCGACAATGGTGCGGCTTCTGACGATCTCTTGCAAAATATATTTTTTGGGCTGTGCGGTCCTATCTCTAGTAATCCTGTGGCACGTACTGTCCTCCAAGGAGATGGAAAATCTTACAAATGGCATGAACGAAACTCACAATAAAGTCGATAGATTTTACGTGAATTCCGCCAAGTGCCAGGTGCCGTATGTGGAGCCCTTCAATGCCGAGGTGATGAAGGTATACAAGCCGATGCCCTTTATACCCTGCACCAATAAAAGTGACCTTATTACGGTGCACTACGACCGCATGTACAATCAGTATGTGCTTCACGTCAACAAGGAAGTGGTTCACGAGGAGGTGGGACAGGGAGACATTGCCTGCTTCTACCAGAAAATTATTTACGGTCGCAAAGCGGATGTGTTCGATAGGTAAATCTGTGCCTTAACTAATGTGCAGTATATATGTAACAACATTTTTTAAGCAAAGCATTGGGAGTAAAACTCAATTCTATCAGAGCTTTTTGGTCCCCGTGGATATCGAGGGGATGCTGGTAGAATGCAGGACTGCGAACGAACAAAGAGTCCTGCAAAAGGACGCCTTTGTGCTTGTGCAATACCAGAAGAAACCCAAAGAGCAACCCCGGAAATCAGTGCCAGATCGGCAGGCCAGTGTTATCATGTACGGCATAGATACCGTGTCGCGCACAAATCTGCGTCGCACCATGCCCATGGTACACGAGTTCCTTAAGTCTCCGGGCTGGTACGAAATGATGGGTTACAATAAGGTAACTCTAAATGGAAATCCTCAGAACTGCAGCCACTTATCCATCATATACTTTTGATTTCAGGTCGCTGATAATTCGTTTCCCAACATATTTGCTATGCTAACTGGCTATTCACCGGAAACGGCAAAAGCTCAGGTTTGCGACACTGATATTGACGGTTGCTTGGATAAAATACCATTCATTTGGAAGGAAATGAGGGAAGCCGGCTACCTGACAGCCTACGCAGAGGATGAGGAGATTGCGAATACCTTCACCTACATGAAGCCGGGCTTCTCCGTGAAGCCCACAGACTACTACTTTCGGCCTTTCCTGGTCGCCCTAGAAAACCACACTGAGGTGAAGTACTGCGAAGGATGTCTGATGAAGTACTGCCTAGGCCGGCGTCTGGCCAACAGCTATATCTACGACTATTGTCGCCAGTTCATGCAACGCTTTGTGGCCGAACGACCGGTTTGGGGCATGTTCTGGTCTAACCACTTCAGCCACGACAACGTCTTCATGCTCTCGGCCATGGAGCACAAGGTCCTGACCGATCTCCTCAATTTCGAGAGGGACGGGGCCTTCGAGCACACGATCATGATCTTCTTTTCGGACCACGGCGCCCGCTTTGGACCACTGATGCATATGAAGGAGGCTTTTCTGGAGGAGCGATTGCCCATAATGTTCATCTATCTGCCACCCTGGTTCCGTGAGAAATATCCCATGTATGTGCGTGCCCTGGAGCTGAATCAGCATCGACTGAGCTCGAACTTCGACCTGTACAGCACCCTGAAGCATATTCTGAAAATCGACGGAAAGGCGGACGGCTGGTCCTACGACTGCCCGCAGTGCCAGTCGCTTCTGCTGCCGCTGCCCGAGAACCGAAACTGCTCACAGGCAGGCATCACCGAGCCCTACTGCACCTGCCACAAGTACGAAGAGGTCCGGGAGACGGACTGGACCCGGCGGATGGCCATCCATGTAGTGGAACGCATCAATCAGTACCTCTGGCAGCACAATATGCAGGAACGCTGCAGCAATCTCACCCTGCGGGTAGTCAACGCCACTGAGCAGCGAGTGGACAACCTCGACGGGGATACGAATTTGACGGGCGGACTGCGGCACTACCACACCAAGTTCCAGGTGCACCAGAATCTGGGCGAGTTCTTTGCCACCACGCTGTACGACAGGGAGACGGAGGCCCTTGAGCTCAACGTGGAGCTCATCAGTCGCACCAACATGTACGGCAACGACTCCGAGTGCGTGCGGAATAAGATTGTGAAGCTATATTGCATATGCCTCGAAAAGCTGTGGACGTGAATCTCACATGAGATATTTTCTTTGGTTTAGTTTTTTATTTGTATTTTTTATACATTTGTGAATTAATTGATTGTGATTGGAATAAAATTGCATAATTTGTCTAACATATATGAATCTTTTTTAAGCTTAAATTTTTTTCAAATGTTATGGATAAATATTTAAATTGTAATACCCCTTTCGAAGTTATTATAATTTCAGGGCTTATAAACAGGGTTTAAGGGAAAAGTACCCATAAATCCACCCATATCATCAAAAAGTAAATTAACAATTACTCGTTTCCCTTTGCATGTAATCATTAAAATTTAACTACTTAGTTTGCACATTTTAAATTTATTATAGTGCATATTGTTTAAAAGTCTTCCCAGTTTTTTTTAATATTAAAAACTTCTTTAAGTTATACCAGCGGAGTGTGGCGTGCCTGACCTCGCCCAAGATGTCGTGGCTCGAGAAATTCCGAACTCCCCTCAAGGTATCGAGCTACCTGCACATCTGCTCATAAAAATACCATGATAACGCTGCGCGTGTATTCTATTGGCAAAGACCGGAGACTTCTCGTCGGGACAACCCGTTTTGCGCTGCTTCAGTTGGATTGTATTTGCGCTCGAAGACACAACATGGAGTCGCGATTCCGGACCAGCCATCCAGGAGCCAAGCTTCTGGGCCTCTGCTGCCTGCTGCTAGTCCTGGTCTACTTTATGCACTTTGAAGGTGAAAGCTCTGAGGATGAAATGAAGCAATCCTCTACCTCTCCGCGATCGCGAGTCCCTCTCCAGCCAAGGTGGAAATCGCAGATTCAGCAGCATTTTGTGAAAAGCTCCAAGTGCTATATTCCCTATGTGGATCCCTTCAACGCGGAGGTTATGGAGATATATCAACCGCAGATTCTGGTCACCTGCACGAACGAAACCGACCTAATCTCAACCGAATACAGCTCTCTGCTGCAGCGATATGTCCTTCACATCGACGAGGAAGTTGCCCACCAACTGATGAACTTCTCCGAATCGGAGTTCAACTGCTTCTACCGGGAAATTAAGTACGGAAAGAAGGTAGATAACTATGACAAGTAAGATATGGTGAATCCCCCAGTCGCTAGAAATACGCAACACGTTGCCTTCCAATCGCACAGTCTCAAGGCGAATAAATACTTCACCGATGGCTATGTGGTGCCGCAGCATGTAGAGGGCATGGTTGTCGAATGCCACACGGCCGAGGAGCCTAAGGTGCTCCTTCAGAAGGACGCCTTCACCTTTGTCCAGCACCAGCCGCTGCCCAAGGACCTCCTGAAGCCGCGTGCCGCCCGGAAGCCCAGTGTGATCATGTACGGCATCGACTCGCTATCCCGCATCAATCTGCGACGCACCATGCCCAAGGTCTTCAGTTTCCTGCAAAGCGCCGGATGGTACGAGATGCAGGGATACAATAAGGTAAAGCACATAGTTTTATAAAATTTTAGATAGATTGTGGAAAATGATTCATTTGGCTTGCAAAAATTAGATTCTAAAGCTCTCTAGTGCGATTCTTTATTTGGTTTTCTAATCAATCAAATATGAGTAATGGCAGTTACATATTGCTCCATTTTTGATAAGCCAACTCAAACGTTAATAAAACTAACTGATAATGGATTCTGATTCAGAATTTCTGAAAGTTATAGAAAGGGGAAACACCTATTAAAAGACTCAAGTGCTGCATTGCATTATCGATACCTGAAGTTAGCGACAAGTGTGGATCGTAAGAGTTAATATTTATTTTGATTGAATACCAATGCAATTGCATCTAGACATATCACAAATAGGTGCTCAACAGATGGTTGTAAAGTTAAACAAAACACATAGGAGCTATAAGTTTATATACTATGTAATGACATATACGAAATTGTTGCTTTGCATTTAAACCAATGCTAATTAGTAATATAATCGTCTTACAGGTGGCCGACAACTCGTTTCCCAATATCTTGGCCATTCTCAGCGGCTACTCAGCGGAGGCGGCCAAAAAGATGCTCTGTGACACGGACAAGGCCGGCTGCCTGGATGAGATGCCCATGATATGGAAGTACTTTAAGAACGCCAGCTACTTGACGGCGTATGCGGAGGACGAGAGCAATTCGAATCACTTCAATTACCTGAAGCCAGGCTTCTCAAAGAAGCCCATGGACTATTACTTCCGGCCCTTGCTGAAAGCTCTGGAATCTGAAATGAATGTGTACCGGCTGCCGGAGCACGATTACATGCGGTATTGCTTGGGCCGCAGGATGGCGAATCGATATATCTATGACTATGGGCGGCAGTTCACCCAAAGGTTCGTGCAGGAACGCCCCATTTGGGGCATGTTCTGGTCGAACCACTTCAGCCATGACGATCCCTTTCTCCCTTCCGCTATGCAAGACAAGGTTCTGGGCGACCTGCTTGATTTCAAAGCGGAAGGAGCATTCGAGGAGATGATTATGATCTTCTTCGCCGATCACGGTTCACGCTATGGAAAATTGACCAGGCTGAAGGAGGGCTTCCTAGAGGAGCGACTGCCCATGATGTTCATATACCTACCGCCTTGGTTCCGCGAGACTTATCCCACATACGCGCGGGCCCTGGAAGTGAATCAGCATCGGCTAAGCTCCAACTTTGATGTCCACAATACACTGAAGCACATCGTCGAGATAGGCGGCACTCCGGATGGTCCGACTCTGCCGAAGTCCTTTGATTGTCCCACCTGCCAGTCCCTGTTCTACCCGCTGCCCGAGGACCGATCCTGTCAGGATGCGGCCATCGAGGAGCACTATTGCACCTGCGACCCCTACATTCCCATCCGTGGCAAGGACTGGACCGATGCCATTTCCAAGAGTGTGATCGATCGAATGAACGAGTACTTCGTGCACAAGAATCTCAGCAGCCTGTGCAGCAATCTGACGCTCCGCTACGTACACAGAACCGAGATCAAGGCGGGTTCCAGCTGGCACGAGGATCTCAGGGAGGTGGAGACGGCTGTCTATCGGGTTAAATTCAAAGTAGTCCAGAATAGTGCCGACTTCCAAGCCACCGTGGTTTATAATAACGTCACCCGAAACGCGGAAGTAAATGTGGAAAAAATCAGCAGAACAAACTCCTACAAAGATGACTCACCTTGCATCGATGACAAGCTGGCCAAACTTTACTGCATTTGCTACAGTGCCATGCTGTAGTAATCTCTACTTAAAAACCTGATAAATACTGGAAACTAATTTAATACAAGTATACAAGTTGGTTGTTGAATTTGGCTTCGATCAAGTAATAAAGCACTCAATAAAATTAGTAAAAATAATTAAACAGGAGCTCTGCGGCTCTTCATCTTCCGATACCTAGTTCGAGTTCTGGAGTCTGAAGATATTTTGGGCGTCAGTCCACCCGCTAAACCCTTTGGGTCATATTCTGGTAAAATGTCTTCAGTTGCGCAATCCCTTTTTGGGTAAGGGGGCAGAACCAAGACAGTAGGTATATAAACACATCATTGACATGGACTGAAGCCAAACAATTTCCTTTTAAATAAAGCAGTGCGCATCTCTCTGTAAATCAAATTCACTTTAAAAATTCTAATAAATATAACAATGTTTCGAAACTATGCTCGTACACTTTGCCTATGTGTGGGACTCTTTATATTGTCTTTTGTTTGGATAAACCAGCAGCACGAGAACTTTAGCCACAAATTTGTTGCTATATCACGGAAAATTTCTACACTAACCGTAACGAAAATCGATGAAAATGAAAGTACGCCTAAGGAAACATCTAGGTTCTTCGTGTTTAGTCCGCAGTGCAAGATTCCGTACGTTAATCCGTTTGACGTGAGCTTCCAGCAGTGGGATCTCCTAAAGTTTAAACCCTGCACAAATGAACCGGCATTGGTCAGCGTTATCTACGATTCCTCTAAGAGACAGTATAAGCTGCACTTAAATACCGATGTGGCTAAGAAGAACTTTTCAAGTTATGGAAATTATGGCTGTACCTGTCAGGAGGCACGGTCTGGATCGGGCGACACAATTGCCTAGTAAGTATTGCTTTAATTCAGCTTTTATCTGTATCCTTAGGGTTTAACTTTGAAGCATTTCAATGGAAGCTTATGAAAGATAGCTTTGGATATTCTGCTTTGTATATTATTGTTGTAAAAATCATTCTTTTACAGCTTAGGAAAGGCTGCATATATCCATCAGGATTGGCCTGTGCCGACTCACTTTGTGGGTGTGATTGTTGAGTGTCACGAGGTGAGGAACAAGTCACGGGTCTTGCAACGTGATGCCTTCTTCTTCATCCAGTACCCAAAGAATCGCAACGAGGCAAACGATGCCAAGAGGGGAGCGGAGTATCCCAGTGTCTTCCTGTTCGGGATCGACAGCATGTCTCGAATGAACTTCCACAGGTCCATGCCACTCACCGCCAAGTTCGTTAGCCAGGAGGGATGGTATGAGATGGAAGGCTACAATAAGGTGGGCGACAACACACTTCCAAATTTGCTGGCCGTGCTCACAGGTCGGACTCCGAGACAATGGCGGTCCAAGTGTGATGTTCGGAAGGAGGGTTGCCTGGACAGCCTACCCTTTCTCTGGGACCTATTCCGCAACGCTGGTTACCTAACAGCCTATGCCGAGGATCTCGCCTCCATGTCCACGTTTAACTACTTGAAAGAAGGCTTCTCCCGACGGCCGGTGGACTTTTACTTACGTCACTTTATGATGGTCATCGAACAGGAAATGAAGACCATTAACTACGATGAACTAAATTTTTGTGTGGGCAGAAGGCACAGTTTTAGCTACATTCTTGACTTTGCCAAGCAGCTGATCGAACGATTTATCGTTGAGAATCCAAAGCCGCTGTTCGGCCTGTTTTGGACAAGTAGCTGCACCCACGACGACTTTCAGGGAGGCAGACATTTGGACAAGCCGTTTGTTCGTTACCTGGAGGAGTTCCAGGAGTACGGGTTGCTTAAAAATTCCATTGTGATACTGCTCAGTGACCACGGGACGCGGTTCGGACCTCTGGCCGAGCACTTCACTGGCTTTCTGGAAGAGAGACTGCCCATGCTGCACATATACATTCCCCCGTGGTATCGAAAACGTTACCCACGTGTGGCCAATGCGCTGCAATTAAACAGGAATCGCCTGAGTTCCAACTATGATCTATACCTGGGTATCAGGCAGATTATCGAGGAAATTCATCCAAGAATGGAATTCCAGCCATTATTTCCCCCCAACACTATTCACTCAATTCTCAGAGTGCTGCCCAGGAATCGGACTTGCTCCCAAGCCGGTATACCCGAGCACTGGTGTACTTGCAAGCCCTTCGTAAATGTCCAGGTGACGGATTTCTTTGTGGAACTCAGTAAGCTGATTGTCGATCGGATGAATGAGTTCCTGAAGATGCTTGGTGTTGAAGGGGATTGCCATTTGGTTATTCCCAAGAAAATTCTGCAGGCTGACCAACAGTTGCACTTTGATGAATTGGGAAACGTCGTGGCTGCTCCAAATGGTTTGGAAACTTTCAGACTGCTCTTTACCACAATTCCGAATGACGGTATGTTTCGGACAATAGTTCATAGCAACGCCAACCATTCGATTTTTCATACCGAAGTAGATATGATTAGTCGCGTTAGTCCCTATAAGAATGAGTCTTACTGTGTTAAGGACGCTGTTGCGAAGAAATTCTGCCTCTGCCGCAAAGATAAATTTTTAAAACTTCATCGGGGACGGGAGAAAAAAGTGAGGAAAGTTAAATACGAATTTATGGAGGATCGCGAAGGCGAATATTATGACGAAAGTCATAGGTTTACAATAACATGAGAACACGTAACAAGAACCGGTATACCAGAAATGATTGATAGCAAATAATCATTTAAATTTTTTAAATATTATTTATTAATATATATTTTAGTAAAAGGATTGAAGTTGTCGCTTGGGTTTTCTTCGTATTCTTCTTACAAACTAGTCTCTGTGATAATTTTTAATCAGACCATATTACGCTTTTTAAACATATTTAAATTACTAAATTATATTGGATATTTATAGAAGTCATTTATTGATATCTGATCTGACATTGTCAGGGGTGCCTTGCCTAACTTAACAAATTCTGTTTCAATTAAAAAAACAAATATGTTTCGATGGTATTTTCGAAGACTCTGCATTTGTGTGGTGCTCTTCACATTTCTGTTTTTGCTCGCAAGGGACAGGACCAAAAATTCGATAAATACTAGTGCCTTGACGCAATTGCATCCTAAACCCTGGAACGATACAACTGGAGCTTTTAGGAGAAAACCTTCCTTCTTCGTGTTTAGCCCCCAGTGCAAGATTCCATATGTTGATCCGTTTGCGAAAGAGCTGCTCAGGTGGGAACCACTAAAGCTTGAGACATGCCCTGACGGGCCGAATTTGTTCAGCATTAGCTTTGATCGCGCCAGAGAGCGTTATAGAGTACACTTGAATAAAACAGTGGCTGAGAAGCACTTTGCGAGCTACTTCCCATTTGGTTGTACGTATATTGAGATAACCCCTGGATCGAACAACTCGTCTGCTCAGTAAGAATAATTTTAATATTTATTTGATAATTATAAATATTCATAATTTATTGCAGATCAAAACCAATAAACTTTAATCCAGACTGGATCGTGCCGGCTCACTTTCTGGGTATGATTGTCCAGTGTCATGCGCTGGCAAACACCTCCCGAGTGATGCAGCGCGACGCCTTCACATTTGTCCAAAATCCGAGGAACCCCAATATTGCCAAAACAGATGCCAAGAAGCCTAGTGTCTTCATATTCGGCATCGAAAGCATGTCTCGGATGAACTTCCGGAGGACCATGCCGCTCACCTCGAAATTCGTTGGCGAGGACGGATGGTTTGAAATGGAGGGCTACAACAGTGTGGGCGACAACAAGATGAATAACTTGGCGGCCATACTTACGGATGGAACTCGTTGGAAGGACAAACTTTTGTGTGACCCCAGAAATCCCGCCTGCCTTTATGACCTAACATTGGTGTGGAAACACTTCCGGAATGCCGGTTACCTCACTGCATATGCCGAGGACGTGACCTCCGACTATTTTGACCATCTCGGAATGGCTTCCCTACGTCAGCCGGTGGACTTTTATATGCGTCCCTTCCTGGTCGCCGTCGAGAAGGTGTTTAAAACGGTTAAGAATTTCGGACTTTGCCTGGGCAGGAGGAACAGTTTCAGCTACGTCTTCGACTTTGCCAAGCAGCTGATTGAACGATATGTTTTGGAGCATCCAACTCCGCTCTTCGGCCTGTTCTGGACAAGTACCCTCACTCAAAACGACTTTCGGGGGGGCAGAACTTTAGACGAGCTGTTCGTTCGTTACCTAGAGGAGTTCCAGAATTACGGATTGTTTGAAAATTCCATTGTGATTCTGATTAGTGATCGTGGTTCCAGTCAGGGTCTTTTGGTGGATCATCCCTCTGGCTTTCTGGAGGAGCGACTGCCCATGCTGCACATTTACATCCCTGAGCAGTATCATGTGAGGTATCCATCGGTGGTGAGGGCGCTGGAATTGAATAGGAATCGTCTGAGTTCCAATTGCGACCTGCACTTAGGAGTCCGGCAGGTTGTGCAACAGGCGCGTCCGGGAATATGGTTCGTGGAGTCCACTTACACATGTCATTCTATCATGAAGATACTCCCCAAGAATCGCGGTTGCGATGTTGCCTCCATTCCCCCTAAATGGTGTGCCTGCGAGCCCTTCCTGAGGGTGCCCATAGAGGACTCCTTTGCACAAATAGCGTCGGTGGTTGTGTATCGAATGAACAAGTTCCTGAGGCGGCAAAAAGTAGCCAAGGAATGCTATCTAATGGTTTTGAACAAAGTCCTGAAAGCGGAGCGACAGCTACACTATGATGAGAAGGGAATTAGAGTGCCTTCTCCCAGTGGGCTCGAGACCATTCGCCTGGTTTTTACTACCAAACCGAAAGGAGTCGTGTTTTGGTCATTAGTTCATAGCAACAACGACACAAATTATGTGAAAGTACAATTGGAAATGATCACGCGTCTCGGCCCCGATAGCAACGACTCCTATTGTGTGGATGATGAAATGGCCAAACAATTCTGCATTTGCCGCAATTCCTAATTATGAGAACAATTTATTAATAATTTTGTATAAGTTAGCTTTTTGAAATCAAATTTGTTGTGTCGTTTGATGTGCGGCAACTCAGAATTCTTTTGCTTATCGTTCGAATTTCGTTAGTCCAGAATTCCTTTAGATATGGAAACTACAATGAGACGAAGGTCCATATTAAAATTTAAGAGATACATCATTATTTTCTTCGTTGTCTTGTTGGCCATTATATGGATCAACCATTACAGTCAAGGCAAGACCTCTAAGAAGGAGCTCGTTGAAGACATTCCCGTGGTCGAGCAAAAAACCTATGAAGAAGAAAAGCCATCACCACGGACCGAATCGGCGCGGGAAAAAAGCTTAAGGATTTTTTATGAGCGTCTTATGAGACCCGACCAGGATGAGGACACGACCACAGAAGAGACTGAGCTTGAAGATTCTTATAAGTACTCGTGGTCCTTGAACGATATACAGCGCAGAAAGCTTAGAAGGGCACCGGCCAGTCGTTTCTTCGTGAAGAATCCCAAATGCAAAATGCCGTATGCAGATCCCTTCTCCAGCGAGGCATTAGCCATCCCGAAGCCTGAGAAGTTGAATAACTGCAGCCACGAAGGACCAATCTTTGCTCTAAAATTTGATCGAAAGTTGGTGCGATATCGGCTGCAGGTGAACAGAACTATGCTCGCAAAGTTGCAACCAAACCTACGGAAGTACAGGTGCGCCTACAGAGAAGTCCCCAATGACACGTAAGGCACCTGACGGATCTGTTTATGTATTTTGGCCTAAAATAATTAAACTTTCGTCAGGATTACCCCTTGGACGAGCTTTCAAGATGAGGCCCTCATCGACTGGATTCCCAGCGGCATTGTTGCAAAATGTCACGATGCACTGAAAGCCACGAGGACTATCCAACAGGATGCCTTTCCGCTGGTACAGGTGCCTTACCGGAGGGCACGCGTGAAGTCGGATCCTTTGAAAAGAAAACCGAGTGTACTAATGCTGGGACTGGACAGTATATCGCGGATGAATTTCAAGCGCAGTATGCCGAAGGCAGCTGAGTTCGTGAAGCAGGAAGGCTGGTTCGAGATGGAGGGATACAACAAAATAGAAGATAGCGCGTACGCCACCTTCTGCGCCATCTTTGGCGGCGCCAAGTCGGATAAAACCTGTGAAAAGCGCTTTCCAATGATATGGAATTCGTACAAGGAAGCTGGCTACACAACTGCCTTTGGGGAGGACAGCCTAGAATCCCATGTTCCCCCGTTTCGGCCAGACTTCCAACTTCGTACCCTGCTGGAGGATATTGGCCAATCCATGGACACAGCCTCCAGATTTGGGTTTCAAAACTGCATCGGCAGACGCCAGAGCATCTCTTATCTGTATGATTTTTGCATGCAGTTCGCGCAACGACTGATCGAGGAGCTGGATCAGCCGGCGTTCGGTGTATTTTGGAGCTCCACCTTAACGCGCGACTACCTAAACGGGCCCGCAAGTCTCGACGAAAAGTTAGTGGAGTACCTGAGGCTGATGCGTGATCACCATATTTTCGAGCGCGCCATAGTGATCCTGTTCAGCGACCAGGGTCAAACGTCGGGAGACCTGGTCGACTTGGCCGACGGGTTCCTCGAAGAACGACTTCCCATGCTGCACATTTACCTGCCGCCCTGGTTTCGCAAGGCGTATCCTATGTTTGCCAGCAACTTGCTCCTAAACAGCAATCGCCTCACCACGCCCTTTGACCTGTACAACACCCTGAGGCACATACTCAACCTGAAGGCCTCCGTTCCCAAGGAGCTGAAATCTACGATGAATTGTCGTCTCAGCCAGTCCCTGTTGCACTTGATGCCCTTCAACCGCAGCTGCGAGCAGGCCTGCATCGGGCTGCACTGGTGCGGCTGCAATGAGTTCGCCCTCGTGGAGAACAACTTTGATGCCTACTACTTGGCCAAGACGTTCGTCTCCTTTCTCAACTATTGGATCCTCAAGAACAACTACAACAAATATTGCCATCGTCTGCTACTGTCTCATCTGGACTACGTGGAGCGGAGCTTGGATGATCTGGAGTCCCTCGAGTCGGGGATCTTTCGCCTGCGCGTTCGCACGGTTCCCCATAAAAGCGTCTTTGAGTCCACAGTTCACTTTAACTCTAACTCGCGTACACTGATCAAGGTCAATATTAGGGATATCAGTAGGCTCAACTCCAACAATCGCTCGGATTGCGTAAAGGACAGGACTGCTAAGAAGTTTTGCATCTGTTACCCTGAAATTAAGGACGAGGAAATGGAATTCTGGATAAATTACACATTATAGTCTTCTAGAAACAGTATACTTTTCCTTTTGGTGTCAACCATGCTGGTCCAGAGCTAGAATTAATTAAATTCGTTATATGTGAATAAATTTAATTCATTACTAACCAACTTAAATATGCCTAAATGGCTCAAAAATTCCAAACATTAAGCATAGAAAAACTAAGATTAATGGAGTATATTTGGACTCTCTGCTTTTATTGAATTTGTTCAAGTTTATGTCTACCTTTCAATTACATTGGAACCTCCAATAAAAACGCTCTTAGGCTAATCCGATTTGCGTGTTAATCTCTAGTGAAGTAGAATGTAGAATTAAATTCTTCTAACCTTTAGCCTAGCAGGACTCTCGAAACTTATTGGTCCCTCGCACCGGATACGAAAACTCAACAAACCAGCATTAACAATACGCTTAGCCTAGCTCCATTATAAAACTATAAAACTTGACTACATATACGAGTCGACCGGATACCGCTCGGCCTCCTCGAGCATGTGCCGGAAATCAACAGGCACAGGCTGGGCAACGTTTCCGGTTGCGGGTCTGCCGGGAACATGGCCGTTCATCATCTGAGTGGGATGCTTTCCGCTGCCCAAGGCACTGCCCCGGTTCTTCAGGTGCCCGTTCATCATGCTCACATGGTGACTAATCGTGGGAACAGCCCCGGGCACATTGGTCTCCAAATCGTGCAGAATGGCATCGGTCTGCTCGTTGCGCATCATCTGGTCACCCAGTGGCGCCGAGTCATCGGGATTATCGCCCTTGTTCAGCAGCCGTTGAATGTGATTCCGGATAAGGCGCTCGAATTCACGTTGCACCGACGGACTATCCGTATCGCCATCGACCTGGGGAATAAAGCGATTTGAGCACCATATCACTAAGCCTTGTAAGGGTACTCACGATCTGCAAGCGATTGCTCGTGTCCAGGATCTTAAGCATGGGCAGAGTCTGCTCCCGAAACAGCTCGAGGCGCCGGCGGAACGAAGACACAGTGTCGTCAATACGTCCTCTGCCGAGTTGGAGTTTGGAACAGTCTAGCAGGATAATGGGCGGGCGTTGCTTGTACTGGAGCAGAGAAAATGGGAATTTATAAAAATTAACTTCAATTTAAAGTTCGATTTCAAAAAATACTAGTTTCCAAATATTATTCAAAATTACCTTGTTCTCAAAGTATTTGACTTGCTGCAAATTCCTTGGATAGCCATCTATGATGATTCCAGTTCTATCCCGCAGCAGGCGCAAATTGGTCTCCAGTAACTGATTCAGAGACTTCTCCGGCGCCATATCTCCGGCGGCCAAGGCCTCCTTCACGGCATAGCTCTCGGTGTTGGCACGTGGTGCTGAGTCCGTGATGTTGCGCAAAAGGCGACCCACACTGTAAAAAGGAATTATCCATATAAAGGTGATTAAGATGGCTTCAAAGGTATCTTATAAATGCCATTATAACCCACCTGATGTGTGCCCAGCCCGGGTTTAGACCCACGGCCTTGAGACAGAGCGTGGCCTTGTTGCTGCCTGGACCACCGATAACCCAGATAATGGGCGGTAGACCGGAATCCTCCGAGCCCGGCCGTAGTTTTGGCTGCTTTGTGACGACAACACCGCTATCATCGTCTGCACTGGTGGTGTCCATCTTCAAGGCAGCCACCGCCACGTTCCGGCCACCGTCGCTCCGATCCAAGGCCAGGTCCCTGGCCAGAACGGTGCCGGTGGTATCGGTGTCGGTGGTGGTTCTGGCCACAATGGTGGCGCTGCCTTCTGCAATTTGAGTCGCTTGTTGGGCTTGACTTGGAGCGGTGTCAACGCTAACTATACTGCCGGGTATGTCATGCACCCCTCTGCCCATACCTGTAACTCCGTTCATCACCGCCTCTTGGTTCTCGAGGGTGCTGAGTATGTCGAGGACAGCGGTGCGAAAATCTTTGTACACCTCTGTGGGAGCACGCTCGCCATTGACCTGCAGGCGAAATTGTTGAATCTTAATTTTCTACACTTATATGTTATGTAGTTTCTCGAATTTTTGGTATTTGCTAAGCATAATGTAAACGTAGTCATACTTACGGCCAACAGCATGTCACTTTGATCAAAATAATCAGCGACTGGCATCACATTTTTAAAGAAATTTTCCAATTCCATTTTGGCTAAGGAGAGTACTACATGACCTAATTTGGCCCCATAATCGATTTGTTTCTGTAGAACCGATTGACGCCAGGATATTAGAATCACGCCATTCACGACTTGTATCTGGAGGTGGGAATAGAGGCGAATTAGAGAAGAGATTACTTTTGAGCAAGACCCCAAATAATGTGCTTCAAGGGGTTGCTTCCCCAAGAATGTCCTACTTTTGCAATTATAGGCCAATATGCCATAGTTAACGCCTTGTGTACGTGACTGGGTACTCGGAACTACCCAAGTACGGCTTGTACGGACTGCCAGTTCTGTCCAATTAGCACTCGCATATGTAACGGACAGTGAATGTGAGCTTGGTTGTAAATCCATGGGAATTATGGCCGAACAAACACACCGACGGCGACCCATTTGCCAGTTAATTAGTTCAAATAGCTCAACAGCAATTTACTGGGCAAACAAACTGTGCGGCAACAAAAATGGCTTTATAGCAAATAAAGGACTCGACGGGGAAGACAGCGCAAATTGGCAGGACGAGTGGACAGAAATTACCTTCTCCGAGTACTCGACAACGTCGCGCATTGATCGTGGATATCCCGATATCAGGTATGCTTTGGCAGCTGGAGCCATTTTCATTTCCAACATCAGCACCTCGGTGACTGTTTTCGACGATAGTTGCGAAAAGTCCTGCATGTCTGGGTAATTAAATATATAATTATTAATTTTACTAATTTTTTTAACGATTTCTGTTTCCCATATCATTCAATTTTTATTGAGCACGAAATCTTACCATTTCCCATTGCATATTGCTGCAGCAGATCCATCATATTGATGTGCGTTACTCCGCGTCGCTCCTGCATAAATGTATCGCAATGGGTGACCTTGCCACTACCTGGGCCGCCTAAAACAAATATCACTGGCACTTTGGGCGGATCGAATTTGATTTTTCCAGCATTTTGCATATCGATAGCGCCGACATTGGCAGAACCCAATCTTCCCGCCGCCGCGGCGGCCTCCAAGTCGCCAGCATTTTGGGCGTTCCGATTCCGTGTATGACTCCAATCGTTGCCTTGTTCGCCGGTATCTTGTGCCGCGCTGGCATCTAAAAAAAATTTAATAAATCAAAGATGGAACTTATAAATAATTTAGTAGACCTCTGGGTGAAGTCTAATATTTCAGCTGTAATAAGAAAAGTTTCCAAAGGCTAATAAGGTCAGGCCACCCTTTTGCCTGCTCCAACCTATTTATATAATTGTCCTTTTTTAATATATATTTTTTAAATTATTTTTTAAGAAGTCTAAATTCTACAGGCACTGTGATTTTAATGTACCTGAAATACCTGAATCGTAATCCATGTTTACACAGAATATTTTTTTTTAGAGAAATTTAAAAAAAAAAATTAAAAATAGCTTTCAACATTGTTTTACTTTTCCTTTTCTTTATTCTTTAAATTGATGTTTTTCTCTACAAGAGCAACAGTTGACCCTACTGCCAGGGCACCGCCATTACTCGACCGGAAACCGGATGTGTTGGCAATTTAGTGTGAGGAATCCCGGGTCCGTGCCAAGTCGGCATTAGCCAGCCTTCAGAGAGGCGGAAGCAATTTGCCAGGAATAGGAAATTAGTGTCAGAAGCACACGCACTCGACAGGGGAGCGATATAAGCGCCGCAAATCGCGAAACACATCATTAAAACATGTTAAACAATTATTTAATTGTATGGCAACCGTGTCTAGTATAGTATGGCGTCACCGCTGAATTCATTCATGGAAAATCAGCTGCGGCCTGGCGTTTCTATAGCTTTCGATATGTGCCCCCAACTCCTCTTAGTAGTTGCCCTCTCCTGTAATTTCACTCCTTTCGCCCCCTATAATCCCTTTCGGTCCTGTGGCATTTTTATTGATTTTTCTGCAGTTTTATTTAATTGACATGTTTTGTTATTGTTGCTGTCCCTTTCCGGCGCGGGGTTTCCCATGTCCACTCCGTTCTTGTTTTCCTTTTGTTTTTGTGTGTGACGCGCATTTTAGGATTTATGTGTAATGTGGGCTGGCTTTGGTGGTCAACGTACATGTCCAAGGACCTGGAAGCCTTGGTGAACAACGAGCCCAAGTTCCGATACAAATTATAGCGTTGGGCAAGGTCCCTATTTTGCCGCCGCTTTACACGAATCAAGGAATATCCGTATTTGTATGTTTCGTAGAACTGTGTTGTGGCATTCTTTTTATATATATGTATATACTGTATATATATATTTTGTAAAATCGTTTTGTCGAAGATAATAGTTTTTCGCGAATGAATTTCCTAGCTAATGATTGCTGTAATTTCAATTTCAACTGTCCCTTGAATTGTAGACAATTGAATATGTCACCGAGAATTAAGCAGGTGGAAAGGGATCTTAACGTTATTTCAGGCTTTAAGGAAAAGGTTAACTGGGTAGTAATGGCAATTTTATTTTGAATTAAAGGAAACTAGTTTTTATTTTTATTTATTTATTTCAACTATGAGCTTAAAATGCATTTAGAAAACACGCGAAAAGTAAAATGTTTCAGGTACCAAACCATGGATAAATTTAGTTTTTTGAAGCGTAGTTTTGTTATTTTCTTAAAAAGATTTCAAGGCTTTGGTGAAAATGTAGCTCCACTGATAATAAATGAACAAAGACCAACAAAATCCAATTGTAGATCGCGGATAATAATTTAAAACATTAATTTTTGGTAGACCAACTGGGTAAGCTCAATATGTAGACCCCTCATTTTACTCCAAAAAATAATCTACTGAGTATCCGAAAAGTATGCAGTATTCGATTAAAAAACACTGCTCAGCCAAGAAGGTTGCCATAGAAAATGAGTAATAAAGTTACAATTGTGCAGCTAATTCTCTACGTTCGTCATCTAAAATTCATTGGCACAAAAACTAATGAAAAGTTGGGTATTACAAGTAGTCCCCCTGGCGTGTTCTGGCCGCGACTCATTAGGGTTCTTTTTGTTATCTTTTGGCCGTGGAGAGGCATTGCTAATCTCTGCTTACAGATCTACCGACCGGGGCACATTACTCACCTGTGTCTAAACAAATACCCATTATCCATTCGGTGGCCAGTATAGCTGAATTTTCGCAATTGTGTTTTCCCAAACGCGCCCGGCCGCGTGCACTCTAACTCGCACACAAAGGAGTATTTTGTTTTTAAAAAATATATAAATCGAATATATATCGAACTTTTCCAAAGGTTTTTCAGAGTTTTAACCGAACATCAGTGGAATTCCACACATGATTTGCACTCCGTCCATGGCTAACTCGCGGAAAGTTCTCCTATGTTTTCTATATATGTATATTATAAATTTGTGTACATTTATTGTTGGTATCTCTGGGATACTTGTTCTCGCGTTTTATCGTCGGCAACACGCACCACCACGAACTGCATGACTCTGCCGGTTTTATGTTTGGGCTCCTGATTTCGATTCGATTCTATTCTGTTCTGATTTCCGCGGGTTCAACAAACCGGGACAGGTACGCCTCGACGAGCGTCCGAAACGAAACTGAGTTTCGAAATTGACAAGGGACTCGGTTTTTACCTCGCCGAGCCGATTCACCTGGTCACTTTGGTTGCCCGGCGCGCTTTTCCAATTAATGAATACTTTATGAGTTCCAGCAGTTTCCTGGCCACCACTCGAAACCACATGCGATTCCAGTGGCGCGCGGGTGGGTTCACTGCTCGCCCCGTGGTCCGCTGGAAGTTTCACGCACGGCTTTAGCTCCTGACATCCTTGGAGCGTTTTTACCACCCAAACCCAAGCCTAATCTCAAACCCTGGCCCGTCGTCATTGTCCGTGTCATTCATGGGGCGCCATTTGTTTATGCGCTCCAAACAAAGTGGCGGTATCCTGAGTCCTGTGTCCTGGAGCCAGCAGTGCGTTTCTCACACATGCGGCTCCCATCAGCTTTTTAAAACACTTTCTATGTTTTCACTGGCAGTGTCTAGTCTCTTGGTGTGCTGGTGGTGTCCTGTCGTCTATGTTGATTGTTGTTGTCATTTTAGTTTTTGTTTTTCTAGGTGTAAATAAAGCCACTGACTTGCAGCTGTTTAAGTTGAAAGGCATAATAGAAATCAGTGCGGGCGAAAAAATAGTCACAAGTATTTGAAATAAGATGAATGGCTAAAAAAAATCAATACCTTACTTTGGAAGATTACAAATGTAAAAGCCTAATTTATTTTTCATTAATTTTTATATATTGGAGAACCTTTATCCCTGGGAGCCTGGTTAAAAATATATATAATTTATTTCACTGCGTCGCAAGCTTCTAACTAAAATTATAATACCTTTTACAGTACTAATCTTTATAAAATAAATGTTTAAAATAAATATTCAAACAAACCGAACCTAAAAGCATATCCCCTGGTTTGCTGGCAAAGTGTTTAGCTATCATGAGTCTGCTATATAGTATGATATGTGTCCATTCGGAAGCGCTTTCATGAGCTTGATGGCAACAAAATTGCGCAATCATAGCGCCACACAATGGCAATAGTTTCTAAATTGAAAAAGAAGGATTGGGTGGAGTGATTACGTGAAATGTAGGATTTTCCGAGCAACGAATGGGAACTGGAACACTGGGCCGTGGCTGAGCATTCAATTAATATTTCACACCCTTAATTGACCTAAATTATTAAGTTTACCTCAAGTTTCGGTCGACTCTGGGAGAAGTACGGTGGGCAATTCCCTGGAGCCAAGCCAGCTGTCAAAATTTTCAAACGTGTTCAATTAAAATTCAATTGGGTTATTGTTTTTTGTTGGTTCTTTCAAAGCTAAAGCAGGGGGCATTGGACACTCCAGGACATGGGACAGGTTGATTAGGCCGCCAAGGACACCGAAAGAAGTTCAAAGCTCAAGGAAACTTCATATCGATCAAATTGGTCTCATATCGATCCGTGGGCAACCACAGATGCGACGCCTAATTTGTTGGAATTTGTGACATGTCATGTGCCGTCGACACAAGGACAGCGGCAACAACAAGGATAACAACTGCCGAATCGAACTGAAACCGGCGATTGACATTGACACCCACACCAGACTAGGCCAGACCAGTCCAGTGGGACCCGGATTTCCAACTTATGCGTAAAGTAAATCCTTCGCAATGACCAGCGGCGACCACAACAGGCCAGCAACTCGCTCGTGTCTCGTGCTCGTCCTTGGGGCTGTTGGGCGGGTCCTTTGGTTATTAAATGCCTTTTCAAACTTAATTAAGGCTACGCGTTTTGGCCAACATGTGTACACAACTGCAGACGGGTGCGGTCAACTTAGGGTTAAGCAATTCGAACCGAACATATGTGATTAAGGCTAAGGGCCGCTTTTGTTGGCGACGAAAGCTGCCGAGGATGGGAAGAGATGACAACCCCTAATTTAAAAAATCATACAAATTAATCATTTAATTGTGCTAAGGACAATAAATAATACCCGATAAAGCAATATACTCGAGGAAAACCCTGCGATGAGGTCACTTAAATTAATAAAACATAACGTTGAATAATTTAAATGTGGCTTTGTGACAACAGAATGACAGTCAAAAATTCTCATTAAAAACATGCAAAATAAAAGGGGTAGAGAAGTGTTTGGATTTAAAGTATTAATGTTGTTCTTAAGGTAAAAATATATTGCAAAACTAAGAGTAGTTTTTCTAATGTAAGTCTTTATTTAGATACAACTTCACCCTGCAAAATCTCCCCTGACACTCTCCGGCATTTATAAATAGGTTCCCTGCTGTGGAAATTAAACCTCCCCTCGCAGGTTAATGGTCCGTCCTTCAGGGCCTATTTGGGCTAATATAGCCATTCGAATGTGATTAGGGGCTTGAGTAAAATATTTACAGATCTCACACCCGGCGTGCGCCGACTACCTGGATTTTTCTAAGTGCATGGGGACCCTAGTCCATCCTAATGTGAAAGTTATCAATTATTAATTATCAACTGTAAAGTTCCCAAAGGCGGGCGTGTCAATCAAACAGAAAAACCCGAAGGCTGTTGGGTACCATTCAATGTTGTCCTCTTTGAACTTTTAACTGTCTGAATTTTTGATGATAGCTCGAAAGCTCCAAAAGTTGTTTTTCTGTTTAACTATAAATATTGATTCGTCATGAGGACACTCGCATCACTGATGAAGATGATTGGGTCGCGCATTACCTTCAAAGAATCCGACAGAACGAATTTATTCACTTAACTCGAATCAATAAAATATAATATCACTGGTCGTAGTCCTACAGGTGCAGGTGACTAATTGCTAAGGTCCAAATATGGTCCAAACTACGTCCTTAGCTCTTGTTGGACACCTCCCCACTGGCAGAGTAGGCCTGGTTCTCGTATCCAGCGAAATTTCCCAGCACCATGGAGATGCGCGACGGCGAGTGTTGTATTCCGTTTCCGGACTTGTCATCCGGTCCATAGCCCTTTCCACTGCTGGTGGGCAAGACAAACTTGTCGTTGCGACACCGTCGGTACAGGAAAAGTCGCAGCTTGAAGAACACAAAGAGCAGGACGTAGATGAAACAGGAAAGGATGAGCACGCCCACGACTGTGACGAACGCACTCTCCGGCTGGCTCCAATCAATCACGTGGTAAATGTACGGCTTTCCCTTTCTAAATCGAAAAGGTAACGATGTATTTTATTATATCTTATGTATTTTAAGCACACTTACTTGTTAAGGCCTCCGCACAAGTGGTAAATGTACGAGAAGATGGCAAACACAACCCCGAATAATACTGGCAGAAATATGTGCAGCAGCCTCATGGGATGTGCCACTATCCACAGATCGATGAACATGCAGATCGAGTTGAAGGCGTGAGTGAGCACATTCGTGGCGTCCAAGTTATTCTCGTTAGCTGAAGAGCAAGCAAAGAGTGAGGTATATGCGGAATTTATTTCCAAGTAATACTCACCGTCATACAGAATCGCCCAGTAGATGATGGTGATGACAATAGATAAGACCAGAGATATGATGTGCATACCCCAGTAGACTCGAAAATAGCTAAAGGAGCTCTTGATATTCAAGAGTTTATCTAAAAGATAAAAGTACATTTTTCGTTTTAAAAGCATTCCCAAGGTCGTAAGGTACAACTCACCCGCATATTCCGGATGATAGTGCCAAACGGTGACTAGTACTGCTCCCAAGAGGTTCGTCAGCATGCACATCCAGATCCCCCAGTTGGTCATGTAGATGAAGTACAGCCAGTAGCTGCTTTCATCATCTGCTTCTGGCCACATTGAGGTGATAACCACGACCACAAAGAACAGGGCCATGAACCAGCGGTAAAACAAATAACCCATACTCTTTGAGCATGTTTGCCACTGAAATGGTTTTAAAATATTTATTAAAATTTTTGAAGACTAAGGATAAGGTCATAAGGTGCTATACAGTGATATAATTTTTCTATAATTTAAAATTTCCTTAACTGTAATATTTGTTATACAATAAATCTCCTTTAAATTGACTGCACCCATCGCATGTTTAAAGTAATGCTTTCTTGACAGACCACAGAGTTCGTAACTGCCTGCTGCTTATGCATATTTCAATAGTTTAATTTACAATGCACGAGCAATCGGTGTACAGAAGTCAAAGTTTACTGTCATATACATATATCCGTTGGTGTGTACATTTGTAACCCTCTCTCTATTGATACTGTGAATGAAGGAGTTTATTAAATATTCCCAAGGTAAGAGCTATACAAAGTGGACAAACGCCCATTGTCTCTTACCATTTGTAAGACAGTTGGATTTGGTCGGGCCTTATGAGCCAAGGTACACTTTTCAGAGGAACTTTTTTCTTGATAAATTTAAATCTTAATTAAAAATCACATAACTATTTTTACAAAAAATTAACAAGTACTAAATGTCTTTACAAAATGTCTAAGATATTTTCTAGACGCTTTGTAAGTAAGTATTGGCTAAACACTAATCAGTTGCTAAATATTTTTGATGTAATCTTTAAAGTCTCACTTAGCCAAAGCACACCTTGTTGACCTCGATGCGGACACTGGCCAACACTTTAAAATGCCCATCATGTACATTGACCCGCGTTCCAAGTGCAACTCAAATACGAAACCAAATAAACACCTGCCCAGTTGCGTGTCCAAGGCCCAAGGACGCAGCTATTTGTACTGTCATCGAACTATTTAATTTGGCCCATACCCGGGATTAATCCTTACCTGCGACTTGACGAAATCATCGGGCGTGTCGTGGTCAAAGCCGCAGCTCTTCCGCTGGAACTCCTTCTTCACCGGGTGCACGATCACCTGGAGCTTGCTCATCTCGTTGGCTTTGCTGTCGATCGGTGTCTAAATAATGCGGCAACAGCTTATGCAATCAGTCGCGGCATGCAACTGTGATTCTCCAAACAGTTAAGCAATTGAAGCCGTATTCAGCGGTGCCATTCTCTTTGCACGCTTCGATTTATAATCAAAATGTGTTGAGGTCTGAAATAATTAGTGAGAAAGTTGATTGTATTGTTAGTAAGAATTTTAATATTATTATTGGGTAGAATTATAAATATATAAATATAAATACTTCTAACGAACCCTCAAAAGATACATATTTAGATGTAGTTTCTTTTCTTTTTGTTTCCTTATAAAATTATTTAAAAGGAATCTTATAATAAAGTAAGCGAAATATTTCCAATCTTAGTAACCCTGGTTTTAAAAGTCATCGACTGTTTGCTCCCCTTCCATTCACACACGGCTTATTCTCAGTTTTTCAAATGCGAGCATACCAACAGGCCAAATACCCGAAATATTAAACAAAAATACGAAATTTTTATTTGTGTTGACATGGAGTTGGCTGGAAAATTTCTTAAGCCTGTATGGCGTCCATTAGGGTGCGGTGAGTATATGCGTTCGCGTAGTCAACGCGGTATCCAAATTTACATTATATCCGGCATTTCTTTAAAAAGTGGTTCGTCCCTATTGCAAGTTGCCGGTGCAAAACCTGGTCTCGTTTCCGGTTGCCAAAATAGAACCCGGAAAGTCAAAGTACATGATGGCCCATGTCTACATTCACGGAGAAATGCGCACTGCAAAGAAGGTCATACGCAGTCTGGCCAAGGCCAAATACCACCGTAAGAGAACTTTGACCTAATCCTCGGCTAAATTCATACAAAATGTCCCTTTTCTAGTTGACGTTTATGACAAACTGAAAGAGGAAGCCGAAAAACTGGGCTTGTGCACCCAAGGGCTTGGTGGTGGCTACTTGGTCCACGACAATAGTAAGAAGTACATCAAGCTTTATGGGAAATCTCTGACCCTGGGCAAGGCCGACCACGAGGCTGCCAAGGATATATTGCAGAAGATGTATAAGGATCATAAGATCGATGCAGAATCTGGCGGCATTGAACCCTAAGTTCGCCCTATTCTCTTAATATTTCGGGTAATGGTTTCGGCCGCTTTTGAATACTTACAATGAATGTTCAAAATTAAAGTTGGCTAATTAAATTGCACAGAATTTGCAAGTTGGTAATAATATCAATTTAGATCTTTATTTTATTTGAAGTGGGTTAAATTTCTAGCTCTGATTTAAACAGGGAATCATTCTTATCCCACAACTAATTTAATAATTGTTTAAAAATCACAACTTTTAAATCACAACTATTAAATCTGTCTGAAAGTTCCCCTTCCGCAGTTTTTATTCAGATAAACTTTGGTAACCATGAGCCGTTACTAAACTTCCCTGATTTTTTGGGTCTGGGCATGTGCAAACCCTTGGCGTGACCCAGACTCAGACAGGTTAGTAACTTATGTGCAAAGTGCGAAACCAAATTGCGAAGCAAGACGAGCTGGGCCTAGTTGTCTGCTTAATAGCGCTAATAATGCCACTATTGTACGACTATTCATATAATTATATGCAGAGCTAGGATGGGGGTCGGGGTGCCATCATTCATGGATCAATTTACCAGATAGTTCATTCGCTTCGTCGAGCACTCTATTATCATGTAGTCAGTGAATAATTATTCGCTTCACCAGGGAGGAGAGAAGCCCTCCACAATTTGTACTGTGTATTCTCTGGCATTGGTCGACCATTAATTGCAAAAATAAAAATATTCAGGCCTGCTCCGGTAATCGTAAAATTTTTTCGATTTCGTTTTGGGCGAAAACGAACCGTTTTCGTTTTTAGCTGCTCCGGTTTTCGGCAAATTTCTGCTATCGGATGTTTCGTTTTCTCATCGTTTCTCACTGCTCAAGCAGCTAACTTGTGTTGTTGGTAATAAGCAAACAACGTAAAGTACTGCCTATTATATTTACAATTGCCCTTTTTCTAAGCCAGAAAAAGGCAAAAAATGGTAGAATTAAGCAAATCCAGGCACCTAAGATGCTGCCACACTTTTCACAGTTTTAATTCCGGTGGTCTCAAATAATTATTTGGTTAATTTGGACCATTTAAGTAATCACATTAAATAGCATTAATTATAAACAACTATTTTGGCGGTCCTTTAAAATTATTAATGTATTCATTTATATTTTATAAGTATTTTTAACTGGCTGTTTCGTTCCACCAACAATATGGCAGCCTTGGCGATAACTTTTTGCGGTGAACTTATCGGCCTATCGCCAAAACGAGAAAACGGGTTGAACACGGCAAAAATTTTGTTGTCAAATCTGAGGAGGGGTCAGAAATAAATTTTTTATAAAATAACTACCTTCCAGAATGATCTTGTGGTGGTGTGGAATAAACATTAATAGACCACTGAGTAAACTATTTTTTTCCCTTTGTAAATAAGATCTGATTTCATATAAAAAAAGCCATTTACTTTTAATTCCGGCCAGAAAAAGGTGCCCGTTTTTCAAATCGAAAAAATCTTTCGTTTTCGATTACCGGAGCACCAATTTCTCGTTTTCAAAAACGAAAACGAAAAAATCTTGCCGTTTTCGATTACCGGAGCAGGCCTGATTAACTTGCGCAATAAAAATGTATTAATTAGCTAGTCCGCTAAGGTCGAACATGTACAAAAACAGAACCCTGGTGGCATGGCCTATTGGGGTGTAGGTCGTCCGTCCGCCGCAACAGCCGAGTAATGAACAAAGTGCTTAAGCTCTGAGGCGAATTTACAACAATCTGCAAGATACGCTCTGACGAGAGAAAAAAGTATAAACAACTTTATTGTTGTGACTATATTACCTTGAGTGCAATCGTCATTCCCGATAAGATAGTATGACGGCCGTGTGGAAATAGGGAAAAACTCCACAGGTTAATTGCAGAAGAAATATAAACCTGGCCAGAAATATTGCAAACGAGGTCGAATTTCTAAGCAAAACTGAATACATAAGGAGGAAACAGAAGTCGTAGGTCTTGGGAATTGAGAATTGTAGTACCATAAAATATCTATCTATCTATCTATTCATCTATCTATCTATCTATCTATCTATCTATCTATCTATCTATCTATCTATCTATCTATCTATCTATCTATCTATCTATCTATCTATCTATCTATCTATCTATCTATCTATCTATCTATCTATCTATCTATCTATCTATCTATCTATCTATCTATCTATCTATCTATCTATCTATCTGCTGAGTTATGCCGACTCCTAACTAAAATTATAAAACCTCGGTATAAAAATTAGTAATAATAATAAATAAAAATAATAAAATAAAATAAAATTAGTTTTTACTTCTACTAATCTTGTGTAAGCAAATTAGATTTTGTTTAGTAAATTTTGACCGAGAGGTGCGGTGCTATCGCCTAATTCATAGCAAGTGCTAATGGCAACAGCTGCTCCGTTCGAAACTCTAGACCCTGACTTCAATATAGTCATCATATTCGCGGCAATTTCGTTGGTTATACAAACACCGGGCCATACGCTAAAATTACTTCTCCAGAGCCTTACTCTGATATAAACATTTTCGAGAGCGATGTTCAGTGTCCCTGAACTTGCACGAATGGCACGCTAATGAAACTTTTAAGCGAGAAACCAGGCAGGTGGCCCATTCAGTTAAACAACTCCAAACCGATCTATGTACCCTGGTGGCCAAGACAATTCCGAGTCTCTTTAGTGCGCATTTTATTTACACGCTTTTTCGGCTGTCGCCTGTGCTACATTTTCGTCAACAAAAGAGAAGAGAAACCCGCATTAAACATATGTTCACAGTGCGTTTCGAAAAGGTATGGCAAATAGTAATTTTAGTCAGCTTTGAAGACATCAATCTCGACAATGAGATATTATCAGAACTGGCACCATAACTCGCTAAATTGTCTTATTTTTAATGCAATACTAAAATCATTTAGCTTAGTTAACTCTTTTGACGAAGCCCGACTATAAATTGTGAAACGCACTGTAGCCAAATAATATATAGGTTTATGGCTCTTGAAGTTGTACCACATTGAACCAAAGAAAAAAAAAACTCGTTGACCTTTACAAGCTGTGTAAATAATTTTTCGACTCGAATGCAGTCAAACAGCTCGGGTGAATGGCAAGTCCAAGAGGCGATCTTTAGATTCCAATATTATCAATAATCCCCTTGATGATTAGATAAGACACGTCAGCCACTCGTTCGGTCCCATTAATTCACAATCTTTTCAATCACTCTAATAGAAAGTGAAATCAAGAGTTCAACGCCATTGGCAGCATTTCTTATGTTAATGACAAAAGCGTAGCCACAACAACTTTCTTATGGTTTTCAAGTGGCTGTTCAAGGGGATTTCAGCTAAAAACCAACCAAATATCGTCATCAAAATTCTTGACTTTTTAAAGACCACTTGTTAACGTTAATTAGCCAATTGTTTTGATTCTGATTGGCCAAAGTACGTTAATTGGTTGCTATAAAGATAGAGTTTATTTGGTTTCATTTATCTGTTATTATACTTATACTGCACCTTAAGCCCCATATAACAAAAATAAATGAATAAAATTAAGTACATTCGTTGTGTGCTAACATTTTATTCTCCATCATAAAGTTTAACCGGCTTCTAAACCACCTCAATTGAAAGATTGAACGAGGTCAGTTTTTATATAGAAGGTGTCAATAATTAATTAACGAATATGATCAGCAAGCGGAAGTGAGAAAATATTAAAAGTGTTAATGATTATATAAACACTTGAGAGACTGAAAACATAAACAAATGTAAATGGTCCAGTTCTCAGCGGCCAAGAAAACCACAGAAAAATGCCGACTAACTAGTTTGCTAACAAATGCCGGTTAATTAGATAACAGTAATGATTTTATGTGTATTCAAACCCACTTTTGCACACTTTACATGACTAGGCTCACCTTCAGCTAATTGCAAGCGGGCTTTCGAGTATGAATAACGTTTTGGCCAAATCCGATTGGCCGCTCCTTGGAATCGCTGTTGTTGTTGGTGAGCAGGAAACTTATAATCGTTCACTTAGTTCACTTTTTCATTAACGCGTTTTTGGGGACGTGCCTAAAATTTCAAGCGTAACGTTAAACCCAATGAGCCAATATATATGCAAAGCTAAAGTCATGCGAGTAGAAACCCAAGTGTAATGTATGTACATACAAGAACCTAAATTTGCATGAATACCCGGAGGAGGTATACCTTTTATTCAGTATTTAAAATTTAGGTAAAAGACCTTCAAGAACCTTCAAAATACATCGAATGACGTCTCTTCAAAAAAATAAAGTAAAATAAAATTAAGCTCACGTGTAATACCATAGAAAATGTATAGACTTAATATATGTTTTATTATTTAGCAAATAAATCTTTTCTCTAGATTTTCTGTGGAATTATAAGTAAACACGGAATGAGAGAAATGTTAATAAATATTTATATTATTAACTTTTAAACCTTTTGTGTGCAAATTAGTCATTTTAATAGTAAGCCAATTCTTGTTGCAAATTCTATTTATATCAACATTGACTGGGAGATGTCAATTGGTTTCAAATGTAAATATTGCCAAAGTGGGAATTTTTGCTAGTTTAACAAGTTTCTAATAAATAAATAATAAATATTTATACTCTCAACTTGTAAACTATTGTTTGCTAGTTAGTCACTTTGATATTAAATCAATTCTTATTGCAAAATCTATTTATATAAACTTTGGCTTAGAGATTTCAATTGATTTTGCATGCAAATATTGTAAAAAATTTCTGCTAGTTTAACAAGTTTCCAAGAGAATTTTCAATCGTCTAAAAAATCCAGTCGTATAATTCAAAGGCTAATTTGTTACTAGCTTTATTACAATTATAAATTGCAACTAGTTTTCAGGGTTTTTGCAAAATAAGGTTCTGGCAAACAAATTCTACACTTTAATGCTATTCACTTTATTCACCACACATTCAATCACATTTTGAAAGATTGCCAAAGTAGCAATTTATTGTTTGGAATTATAAACGCAGCTCGGCTTGGTTTGGATTGTCTTTTATGTAGTTTTGGCCCGGTGGTAATTTCTATTTGGGTCACCACAGCAACGGCAACAACAACTTTGCATAACGGTATCTAGTCGTTTACGAGTTTGTTTGCTGTGCCTTTGCAATTTTTATTATTTTGTTTTTTTAGTTTGTCTGCCAGCAACAACAATACTTTGCATTCACGCACCAATGCACAAGAACATCCAGCAGGCAGCAACAACTTTAATAATATTACTAACTAAAGTGGAGAGACACGCACCGAACGATTGAGGCTGAAATCACGACTTCTCATAGCGAAGCACGTACCGCGAATGATCGTGGCTTCTGAGCTGGAGCGACTTGCTGCCGATTTCGAATATCGTATATCTACAGAAACACATCTTAACGTGGTAGGAGAAAAGTTACGATCACGCCGTACACTGCGAAAATGTATGATATGGAAATTTGTAACGAATTAGGTTTTGTTAACGAAAATAAAATTGCATATGCTTTTAAAACAGGGCTTACATTTTTTAAGGTAAGTGTCGATTACGAAAATAATTTTTTTTAATATTTTTGTGATTTATACAACCATTATTTGTAATAAAAAAAATTATTTGAGAAGTTTTTTGAGTTGCACAGTGCCTTTGTCACTTTTATATTATCTCATTAAGGGGTAAGACTACTTTAAATGTTCTCCATATTTTAAATTTCGTAATATTTTTTAGATAACTACCGTTTACGGAATAAATTAAATTATTTGTATTTATTTCAAAATGTATACGATAAAACTAGTAGCCTAACACACTCTTGGTTTTTATCGTCACTATGCGGACGGCTGTCCACATTTATCGTAAGCGCAGACGCGGCTGCTGCGGCGCCGACGTCGACGCCGCCAGGTGCGCTGGCAGCTGTGTTTGTTGGTGTGTGCGAGAGAGGGTCGCGTCGCTCCACGTTGCTTTTGATATACACGGGGAAAAATCATTATATTTTCCGAGAAATTCCTTTTCCAATAGATCACTGAGTATTTATATGCTCTTAAGAGATTAAAGGACGTTGAAATTACTCACATTAAGTTAAAAATGTTCACGTCAAAGTCTTTAATAAAAAATAACCTCCGCAATACTTGCGAACAAATGAAACCAAAAATATGACTGATCTGAAATTGGAAGTTTAGACAACTTATAAATGGAATCTGGCTTATTATTTCTTGTTAAAATGGTCATTATTAATTTAACTGGAAAACCAATTTAATGATCAGTATTAATGAAAATAACAATAAAATTTAATAGTCACTGATAATAGTATGCTGACGTTTGCCGAACATTTTTTTTTCTTTTTAATATTTACAACTTTATATAAGATGAGGGTTAATAAATACATTTAAGTGTATAATCTATGATAAGCACAATTGTATACCAAATAGAAAGATAAAACTGTACTTCGAAAATTTAAGATAGTCTAGACAATATCTCTATATATGTAGATATTTTGCACATGTATTAATGTTATTTTTTCTCCGTGTAGCAATATTGTCAGAACGATAAAAGAACCATAAAACACGATGGATGCTTTTGGCTCACCTTTCTTCCCTTCTCTGTTAGCCACTTTGGGCTTAATTACTCGTCCATCTAAGTGTGTGTTTTGTGTGTGCTTTTATTTGGCAAATCTTTGAGAGCCAAAAGAAAAACAAAATATATTTTTTTGCTGATGGTACAGTTTGGTAAAAAAAAAAGATAGGAGTTATTTACATTTTGCAATGTCTTAATGGCATCAGTGAAGTTTCTTGACTTTAACCAAGAACTGAATACTTTCCGTTCTTGTTAAAAACTGGATCTGTAATCTAATTACAATCTTACAATGAAAACGATGAGTCACTGATTCATTGAAAAAGTACGAACTAGGTTATGGAACTAAGCCACAAAAATAGAATTCTCGTTACCTAATTCTCTGTGTCATTGAACCTGATAAACTTTTCGGTGAAGCTTTTAAAGCATAATCTTTAGAAGTGAAATATTATTAGGAAGTGGATGGAAATAAATCCAAGTTAATTGATTAAGCTTACTTTAGAGAAGTATGATTAATCCCAGGAGCTACTCATATCGCTTGTGTTTAAGAAACAGATAAATAACTTAATTTCAAATTAGTTGGGGTAGTACCTATAATGCCATGACTATAAAACGGAATGTGAAAACATATGCAAAGCTGTTCCCACAAAAACTCAACTTTTCGATAATTAGTCATTTACCGACCCCAAGGTTCCTACATGTATTCCAAATGTATCTGCTCAATACCTACAAAGTCAGTGTGGCTAAAGAGTTCGTTCAGAGCAACGTTTTAAATTGCTAAATTAAATGTACATCATTTGAATAGAATATAATTAGATATTATGCAGAATAATACCAAAAACTTAATTTATGCATGTATGTACATTGCTTTTTTTATTATTTGTTAGCATTCCCCTATTTACATAGTTTCCAGTGCCGGCAACAATTTTATTAAAATCACTTTAGCTTATTATGTACATTTCTTTTATTTCGATTTTCGTTAGATGTTGTCTTGTTATATGTTTATACAATTCCAAAGTTCTCTGAATGCATCCCGTATAATGTGATGGCATCAATAGAGTATTTCAACAAATTCCATATTTATGCTATTCAATCCATATATGTAGTAACAAAATCTTTGTTTATTAGCCTAACTAAACCAATTCAACGTTAAGGAACCAGAAGATTAAAACTTACTATAGAAATACTAGACATAAATAAATGCATGCGAGTGTGTGTGGGTGTGTGTATGTTGGAATAAAATGCAATGCTGGTGATACTTTTAGACTCCTATAGAAGTGAGGGTGCTAATGAGGCGATGTTCATGTAGGTGACCTTATATTAGACCCACTGAATGCGGGGACCAGACCACACTGAAGGCCCTGTTGAACATCCTCTTCAGCTTGTGCAGTCCGAAGAGCAGCATCCAATAGCACATGATGAGCAGAAAGATGCCCACAAAGGTCACCAGACAACGCTTGGGCTGGTTCCAGTCCAGGATGGGATACACATAGGGATTGCCAAATCTGCAGGAAATTAGGTAACCGATCAGTAAGAAACTAAGCCGAATGCGGGTGGTACCAGTACTCACTCGTCTGTGCCCCCGCAGAAGTGATAGATGATGGTGAAGACAAAGAAGAAGATGGCCAGGCTCATGCTGTAAACCATGTGAAGGACCCTCAGCGGAAACGCCACTACCAGGAAGTCGATCAGCATCATCACAGTGTTCAGTCCATGGGTAATGATGCTAATAGCTGGGAAGCGCACGGGTTTATCTGTGAAATTGCGAAACCATTTTAATTTGATCAATTTAAGGATCACAACTACGACTCTACTCACTCATCTTGCCGTGGAGAAACACCCAGTAGACCGTCGATATAATCAGAGCCAGCGATAGGGTCATATTATACAGCCACCAGTATATCTTCAGGCCTCTCGAGGTATCCGCCTTGTTGCCGGATTCCTGCACCAGGCTCCGGGTGTTTCTCAGATCAAAGTGCCAGCAGGTGACTTGCACCGCGGAGATCAGCATTGTGATCGTGCACAGGCCGTATCCCCAGTTGGTCATGTAGATGAAGAACTTGCCATCGCAGAACTGGACGATCATGCACATGATATATACTCCCAGAAAGAACAGGGCCCAGATCCATCGATAGAGCAGGTACATTGTATTGGTCTCATCCTTTTGCCACTGTTTGAAAAAGTTGTAAAATTAGATGGGTTACATTTTGAGGAGAAAGATTTTGTACTAAGAAACTTTGTTATCTAATTTCCACAATTAAATGTAACCTTTAAATATGTTGTAATTTTTAGAGCCCAACTAATAATGCGTTGCAATTATATTATTAAGTTGTAAACTTACATTGTTGATGGACAGATTATAGAGTGTAATATGGAAATTCCCCTTAGTCCTTATCGCGGTCAATTGTCTAACCCTTTTACGGTGATCTGTTGTAGGCTTATGCAATATATTAATTAAAATATTCCACACCTTTGCCCGTTCAAATTAACAAAAACAAGCCATAAATGATTATGGCATCTCCTATCACGACTTTCTGCTTATCACCCTCAATGACGTAGTCAGAATCGGGCCCGTCTAGCTAGTCACACTTGTCCTTCGAATCAAAGTCTCTGTTTACGCGTGGCTAATACTAATTAAATTAGTTTGATTTGTACTTAATTTTTGCGGAAATGGATTCATTTGTCGATGGTTGATAGATTACACTCTCCGCCATGGATATTTATGGACACCGTCTGATAAGGTCTGGCCAGTACATTTATGGTGGTGTGCTCCAAAACTATATTGCTATCTGGTTCCTGGTTTGTTTTGATTAGCCTTCTATAGGCAAAAAGTGTGTAATTCTTTTATGGCAGAATTCCCAGAACTTTTGCGTCGCGTCTGGGGTTAACTTTTAGGGGCTCATCGGTTCGGGTGTTTTTCAAATGACTCACTAAATGTTTATTTTGATAAGCTAACAAATAATTCTTTTTATTTTGATTGCCTAATATATGTAGCTGGCACACTCATTATGAAACGTAAAAAATAACCGATTGCTCTGTGCAAAGTGCGGACTAACTTAGATATTCTTATCAAAGTCTGTATCTAGATAGAGCAAGATTAGCGACTTTTATCCAGCCAACGCTTTATATGTACATAGAACTGTGGTTTAAATTTTGTTGTGTGATTTTAATATTTTGTGTGTCTGGCACAATACTGGTTCGATCAATATTTATAAAAGTTGTTTGTTTGTACAGCTTTCATTCATAAACATTCTCATGAATACAAATATGGGTAACCGTTCTGACGTTGCCATAGTTATGTACTCCACACTTGAATGATCTAACGAATCTATGGGGCCACAGCTTTTAGTTAAGCTACGCTAATTAAATTCGAATGAATAAACATAGCTTGCGAGTATGTATGCTCCAACATTTCTTACTCTCCCTGTGAAGCCACTCTAATTAGAACTTTTATGCATTCCTTCTTTAATTTTATGTTCTACGAAGAATATTCCATTAAGCCCAGCTGCTGTGACCCCTGTGGGTTTATTGTAGATTTTTTATAACGTTTCTATAAAGATGAAGTTTATAGGGCATTATGACATTAATTTGTTAGTTCATATTATAATTCATTTCAGGTCACTGTTTATTTCTGACACTAATTACTACATGACATTTATAAAAATGTTCTATTCTATATTATATAATATTTTTATTTTTAATTCACAATCTACTTTAACTTTGCCTTCTTTACTGATGTTATTCTTATCAAAAAAATATTTTTATATTGCACTTATCTAGTTGTCTCCCAGATAGTTCGGGTGTATGTACATACGTCACTTCGAATTCGCGGAATTTTTGTAAGAATTTGGGGGCCAACCTTCCCATTTTTAGGGGTTGTACCAAAAGGCTGTTATATGTACATATATTTGTTTGTGTTTCGGAAACACGTGCCTCGCTTTTAGCTGCAATGATGTCACACTAACGGTTACAACTCCTCAACGGGGACTTACAGTGTCTTAGTTTATTTTTGCTACTGCTGTTTTAACTGCTCGTACGATGCACCTGAGCTATTACAGCACCGATAAGGTTGCAGTATTTAGACTGTAATTAGGGGGAACTCTCCTCACCTGCGATCTGTAGAACAGATGAACGCGATTGTATGAGAAGCCGAAGTTCGCCCGCTGCAGTTCCTTGTTGAAGCATTTGCAGAAGTCGTCGAAAAGTTGCATGGTTTCATATATTTCTTTAATTTTATTTTATTTACTTTTTTTTCTACACTTTTATCGCGGACAGGAATTTATTTAGGGGAATTGCGAGGAGGGGAGACTTCCGACCTGAGTCGCTAGTGACCGGCAACTGGCGTCGAATACCTTTTTCGTGTGACTTTGCCAGTGCTTTTGAGTTATGTTTACGGCGCGCACGAGCACCAAAAGAGAGAGGTATAGAGAGAGAGAGAGAGTGGAGAAAGAGGTGGGAGAAGGAGTGCAGAAGGAGGAAGAGGAGTGGGTTCCCCGATCTTGAAATGGGGCTTTTGGATTTTCGGAGTCTGGAGGCGCGCGCACTCGATCACTCCCAGCGGCAAACTGACTGATAGTTAGTTCGATTCGCAACGCGATCGGAACTCGGTGATCACTCGGCGCACGATCACTTTGCACATCGGATGCCTAACGGGAAATGGGAAAACTGACCAGTGCCGTATCACGCTTTATAGCTCCATCCATACATAGCTTTATAGCGACATCGCCGCTAAATTCAATTAAATATGTGGAGCAGCCGCCCGCCAAAAGAGTGTCGGATGGCAAAAGCCGCCCTCTCGCTGGTGGGAACCGTTTTACCCAAGATAATATTGTATCAGTGATCACTATTGACAGCTGGGGATCGCCGCGACGCACACACATTTGTCACGATTGACCAGCACTGAACTTGAAGCCATAGAGGTCGCCCAATTAAGATCGCCATTAACCAGTACCACCCAAAAAATGCGAGAGTCCCAATTGCCTGGCAGCACTTGACGATCGAAATTCCCGCTGACCTATATTGTCCACTAATGGCGCAAACATACCCGTCTGGCGATAAGCAAACGGGGTTCAAGTTCCGCCTTATCTAATCCCCAGAGAAAGCTTTTACACACAGTTTAAGAATCGGTAATTGGGTTTTGATTAAATATCGCATCAGATAAAAATTATTATTGACTAAAGTTCAGTTTCACTGAGATTTATAAAAAGTCTTTATTTTGTATTCAAATGTAGAATGCAAAATGTTACGTTTTAGAATAACAATAAAAGTTTAATATAAATACTAAAATGTTTAAGGAATTATATCTCAAAACAACAAGTAAAATAGATTTCGAATCATTTGTTAAAGGGTTTTATTCAAATTTTTAATTTTTTGATTTTAATGCAAGTACATTTTTTGGAAAATCCTATTCTCTTGAATTTTTTCAAATTGTCAAAACAATTTTTATTTGTTTTTTTTTTTATTGCCAAGCAAGTGGATTTCATGGAAAATGCTATGGTAAAAGGGCGTTGCGTTGACGCGATAATAGTATTTTGGAGTACCATATGTTATCGCTGAGCCCTTCCTAAGAAATATTTTGAATTAGTTTTGCTTTTTTAATTATATTCTGTTTCAACGAAATAAAATGTTTGAATTAATGAAAATTTGATAAGCGTTATTTCCAGACTTATTTCATTACTCAGAAGCTTTTAAAGCAACAATTATTAAACTGGTTATTCATAGAACTTATATACTCGAGTAGCTATATACCAAATATCGTCAGGGGAATAAATCCAGCGTATTTATCTGATACCCCTTTCGGATAGGCAAAGAGCATACATCTCTCGCTGTCTCGCTGGAATATTTGCGCAATTGAAATTGAAATTGAAGCGTTTATTAAACGCCCAGCATCGATTACATATCGACATTCCGGCTAATTTGCATATCATTCCCGACATCGAATACGGAGCCCCTCGCTCGCAACCCGGTCATAACTCATCGGAAGGGTTACGGGTTCGTTACCCCAATATCTGACCTTGCCATTGGACGGACGGGAATCACAGATCGAAAGTGTTGTCGGCACTTGTTGTAAAGATAGCCGAGAAGCCAAATTGAAATTGGTTCTTTATTGCATAAATAAATTATAATTGAGTACCGATTTCAAGAAAAACATTTCAAGTTGACACTTTGCATGATTTCTTCTTGTGTGGGAAACGAGAAGTTAAATTGACCGACCGATTGCTGTGATTTGGAAGGAATATTCCAAAGTGTAGTCTGATTACATGAAATGGAAACCAGAGATTAGTTGTTTATAAATAAGTGGAAATTTTTCAATCATAAGTAGCTCAATTGGAAGCCGAGTAACTTTCCCTGAAATTCAATCTGCATCGAGTAAACAATGGAAATTATGAGAGCCTACATACCTTCAGAATAAAGAGAGCTCAAAGAAATTAAAACCGATAAGTAAACTGGTTTGACTTTAATATATTAAATTTAAGAAACACCCTGTATTTTCCAAAAGCTCTATGAAAGTTCTTAAACATTTTTGCTCCCTTTGTCAATATTCTCAGGTAATCTATAATTCATTACACTGGTTAACACACTCGGTATACTATCACGACATTCCTACATTTTTCTATTATTTATTTTCTCTATACTAATTTCATAAACATAGTATCAACTTTCGATTCAAGAAAAAAACTTTTTTTTAATCTAAGATAATGTTTCAGAAACCAATAAGCTAGAGTATTCAAAGGGCTTCACTATATGGCCGATTGGGTACTTTTTTTTTTTTTTTTTTGGCGAACTCTTATCGCGTCTGGGTCTGGTGGGAACAAGTCTGACAGCACTTGGTTTGTCACAGAGGAAAAACCGCCGACACTTCAGGAACACGAGGGTTTATCAATAGGTTTATGACCGAACTTGCATATGCGAAAATTCCCAAAAATGTTTAAAAATTCACAGTCATCGATTGGTGGAGCTGCTCCGCCCAATTGGGATATTAATGAGTTGGGAAAATTCCCAGCCATAGGTCGGTGTAAGGGTTCAATTTGGTTTACGCATCTGGCCGAGCTTGTCCACATCCGCGTCCGAGCTCCTGGCCTTATCGGAGGCGTACGAATTAGACATTAACGGCGCTCGTTCGGGTGATAAAGACCCAGATAGCCGGAGCGGCTCCTATCACACTCCACGATTACCCCGATTCTGGCCGAAACGATTTGCGGAAAAAATGGCCCTCGACTCAGAGTATTCGACACCTGCGACACATTGTTCCGCCAGTCTGCGATCTACCGGCAAGGCAGTCACCTGCTCTGGACTCTTTTGGCCCTCTTAGTCCAGCGAAACCGACGACGCGTCCACCCAGCCTCCAGTATGCGCGACAAGAGTCAGGAGCCCTGCTGCCTACCACTGAAGGAGGAGTTCCAGCGCTCCAAGTTCTCGCTGCATCACGATGATCCTGGTGCCTTCTGCCGCTCGCAGTGGCAGAAGGGGGACCGCAACCTGATCTGGCTCCTGTACCGTTGGATCCTTGCGGCGTTCTTCGCTGGCGGAGTCATTGGCAGCATGGTGGACTCCTTTAACGGTGGGCGCTGGTTCATATATCTGACTGATTGGGGCTTCTCGCTGTGCTTCTACTGCTGCACCTATGGCGCTGTGGTGGCCACGATTTACTTCATCAGACCCTCCTATTTCGGTGAGTAATGGTTTGGCGGCATTCGTTCGTTTATAAAGTAATAATGGAAATATAATATGACTTCCGATGGATTATACTATTTTCCAGCTCCTGGAAGCCGGGCCTTAAAGATTTACTGGATATCCCACTATACTACTGTGGTGCTTGCCATGTTGATTACCTTGGTTTTCTGGGCTGCCCTCTATCCGTGTAAGTTGAAGTTGTTAGCCAGCCAGAACAACAGTTTAATTATAAATAATAAACAAACATCTTGATAGCAATGCCTGAAATGGGGGCTGAGCTTTACAACTTGTGGGCTCATGCCTTTAACTCGATTTGCATGATCTTTGACTGCTTCATGGTGGCCTTTCCAACCCGGATCATGCACTTTGTGTATCCATTTATTGCTGGCATCACCTATGGCGTGTTCTCCTTGATATACTTTTGGTCCGGTGGAGTTGATCCGTAAGTAAAGAGCTAAAATAAGTCAAAGAGTTTATTACCAGCATTCTGAAAAATCCACAGAATGGGTAATCGATTCATCTACTTCATCTTGGACTGGGAGCGGCCGGGCCTGGCCATTGGAACTGTTTGTGGATGTGTGGTGCTGGTCAGTTGCTTCTGCGTGCTGGTATTTGGTTTCTACAGATTGCGCATCTCGATGCACGAATGCTGCAGCAAAAAACCTGAGGAAATTCCAGCAACGACAGCTCCACCTCCCATAGAGCCAAGGCAAATTGCTTAAAAATTCTAGCTTCAATGGGAGTTTTACCAAAGCAATAGGATGGGTATTTGATTTCCTCGTGGAATTCTAAAGATAGTCCTGCCGGCAGTGCATTAATTATCCTAGCTTTTACAATCTCTGCTAGAGAAGGTAATGGCCTTTATTTTAAACCTGATCAAAAATATTTATTAAAAAAATAAATTACTCCAATAAACCAAAAACCATAATGTTTTTTTTTTTTAATAAATCTAAAAGTCAATTAAGATATTAGTTTTGCAAATTATTCAAATTATATTCAAATATTCAAATTATATAAAACAAGAAAAATACTTATGAAATGTTTTTTATGAATGATTCTGTCTGGTATTGAATTCGTGAGATAGTAGCTAACTTGTGAGTTGGTTTCATGTCAATCAACTAAGGTGTATATGTACCGACATCAGCATTGGGCCTATGCTTGTACATAAACTTATCGCCTACATATTGGTCATTCGGCCGGTATCAATGGCAATAACAAGTCCTTTGTAATATTTCATATCCGTACACAATTCAGACAGGTTGATAGTGGCTATACAAGTGTTAGTATTAAGCTAATTATCCCTATCTTGGAAATTTTACTTACTACTACTTACTTATGACAGTCACATTCTGATTTGTTGAAAAAAAACATGCTTCGATTTAAGTTTATAAATATTATTAGACAGACAGCCTTAGCTGTTTTTTTAGTGGTAGAACAGTGAGATTGAAATCATTGCAGGTAAAGCAATTAGTAATTGCTATGTCACTAGAGCAAAATCATACGATACTTGAGGATTATCAGAAGTTATTTACTAGTTTACGGCATATGCATATATGTATGTACATATGGAAACCCCGAAAAATGTGCTTCTAAATTCCAATAACTGCTAACGCGGCTGCGCCAGAAAGGAGATTAATGGTCCTCGTCTCGAAGTTCGATTTCGTTGACCGCTCCGACCCACCTTGTCCACGTAGGGGGTCTTATCGGGGGCGTGCTCCGCTGCCGAATCAGACATAAATGGTGCTCACTGGGATGATAAGGATCGTGATATCGCACCATTCAAGCCGAAACAATGTGCGGGAAAATTTACCCCCTATTAAGAGTATTGAACACCTGGGGAACCGCTGTCAGTCTGCATTCTACCGGCGAAGTAGTAACTTGCTTTCAAAGGACCTCCAATCCCAGCGAATCCAGGGAAACATTTAGTTGACATGGCTGATAAGAGCCAGGAATCCTGCTGTCAACCCTTGAAGGAGGAGTTCCAGCGTTCAAAATTCTCGCTCTATCATGAGGATCCAGGAGTTTTCTGTCGCTCGCAATGGCAGAAAGGAGACCGTAATTTAATATGGGTTTTGTACCGATGGTTTCTGGCCGCTTTCTTTGCCGCTGGAGTTATCGGGAGCATGATGCAGGACTTTAACGGCGGCCGTTGGTTCATTTTCCTTACCGACTGGGGATTTACACTGTGCTTATTTACCTGTACGTTTGGGGCTGTAATCGCAACTATTTACTACATGAACCCCGCCTATTTTGGTGAGTAAAAATTGCTGTATAAAGTCCATTACTTACGGCAGGGAAGTATTTAAGAATTAGGAAACGAGACAGATAAACTGTTGCAATAATAATATAATTTAAAACTTATTATAGAATTTGTTGCTATATCGTTAACTAATATGAGAACTCTGATACTTTTAGAACCTGGCAGTCGATCCCTAAAGATTTACTGGATCTCCCACTATACAACATCTGTTTTGTCAATGCTGATTACCCTGGTCTTTTGGGCCGCTCTATCATCTAGTAAGTGGAGGCCTTTGGTTGTGCTCTTGAACCCACTAAGTACATGACAAATCTACCCTTAGCCCAGCCAGAAATTGCAGGTGAACTGTACAACCTGTGGTGCCATGCCTTCAACTCGATATGCATGGTCTTCGACTGCTTTATAGTGGCCTATCCCGCCCGCCTCCTGCACGGTATCTATCCCCTTTCTGTTGTGCTTATCTTCTTGGTGCACTCTTTGATCTACTATTGGGCTGGCGGCACTGACATGTAAGCGGTGGCTAATTCAAATGATTTCAAACTGTTCTACAGGACTTACTATATTATTACTCCAACAGGGACGGCAATCGATTCATTTACTACGCCCTGGACTGGGCACGTCCTGGGCTCGCTATTGGTATTGTCTGCGCCAGCCTGGCTCTGATCTGCTGCTTTTCCCTGTTGGCCTTTGGCATCTACCGATTGCGTATCTCGATGTATAAATGTTGCGGAAAAGGTCAAACACTTTCCACCGGAGCTGCCCACAACGAATCATCTCTAGCTGTTTGATTAAAGTTGTATAATTTTTAATCGGCTTTAAAGTTTTAGTATACAGCATAGCTATAGTTAGGCCATTTTCTGGACCACCGCGAACTGTAGCGATTGGATTTGGTTGGACCACTTCTCCAGGGCATTGTAGCGCGAGGCGCTGCTGTTGATCTTGTCTAGCTGGAGCACTTGGTTCACCTGGTCGATGCGTCCCTTGATAGTGCTGCAAATGAAATAAATATTAGTTGAATACTCAGCGTGTTCAAATGTTTTCTTACTCATCCAGGATGCAGGAGACCAGCAGACTCTCGACCTCCGCTGGCTCGATGTTCAGCGCATTGGCAATGAAGGGTATAGCGATGTTCTTGTATGGCCTTATCAGTTTAATGAGCACCTGAGTGCGAATGTTGCGCAAGAGGTCCTCGATGTGCTCCCGAATGAACTGATCGGCCATTATGTTGCTGCGGTGCTGACGCAGGATGGTCTCGAACTCATTGATGTCGTTGTTTTGATAGGAGTTGACGAGATTGGTCATGGCCAGGATCTCGGGGTCGTTCTTGTACGGCTTGGCCTCCTGGGAGTCGAACGGATTGATGCCGGATTTCATCAGCCTTAAAATGAAATGCGATTACTTAATCTCACAAACTATTCAAGTTAATTTTCAACTCACATGTTGGCCAAAACCAAGTACTTCAAGCAGGTGGTTCTCCGGGGGGACCCGCTCTCATCGTAGTTCTTGAACGCCTCAAAGAAGTCGGTGTGCGCCTTCTCGAACTCGCCCTCGCGGAGATGCATTTTTCCGCCACACTCACGGATCACGCCCATGATCAGGGGATGCGGAATGGCCGACTTGATGTGGAGGGACTGCTCGTAGAGAGCCTTGAGCTTCTTGTTGTTCTTCTGCACCGTGTACATCTGGATTTCAAGGGCATAGATCTCCAGCAGCTGGGTGCCCTTCTTCAGGTCGTCCTCGCCATCGTCCGTCTGGCAGCTCTGGTGCAGCTGTTTGAGTATCTTCTGCAGCTTGGTAAAGTCGCTGCGGTCAAAGTAGAGCTTGCCCAGCTTGGTGTTGGTCTTGAACCAAAGCCGGTCGTTTTTGGCATCGCGCAGGGCGTCCAGCGTGGTCTCGTAGAAGTTCTGAAGCAGGGCCATCTGGAATTCAAGTTATTCAGTTAGTAAGCTGCCTTCTGGTTGGTTGATTCTTAGTACTTACATTCTTTGAGGTGGATATATAGTCCAGGATCGAATTGATGCTCTTTTCCGAGTGGTTTCTGGTCACAGCGCTTTTAATATAAGTCAGTAGCTGCTTATAACGCACCATCATCTCATCGTAGTTGCACTTTGTAGAGATTATGTTATACATACTCGTTGAGGACTTTGTTTGCACTATCTTACCAGCCTAAAGTTGATTTTAATCATTTGTTTCAGCGCCTTGAAGCCCCATTCTCCCTTCTCGCCGTTCTCCAGGTCGAGCACCTTCTGGAAACTGGCCAAGGCAGCCTTGGGTTCCTCCTCCTTCAGGGCCTTGCTATTGTAGTACTGGTTCTCCAGGTCCACGTCCGGCTCCGAATTGCTGTCCTCTGAGTACTCCTATAAATGCAACAATTTGAGACACCAGAAGCCGGCATCCATTGGGGGTTTCCCCACGCTTTTCCTACCAGTCCATAATCCTCGTCGTCGTCGCACATGAAATCGTCATCATTGTCCGACATTTTGAAGTTTCGGATCAGTTAAATATGCCCGACAATCAAATAAAATTAATATAATTTTGTTTTTGCAAAAAACAAAGCAGGGAAAAGTGCGACCGTTTGGTTGTTTAGTTTGAAAGTCAATAGCCGGCCAAAAATTCAGAAGATTCTTGGATTCCCTCGTTTGGTCTCACTAAAACAAACTACAACGCTGCCAGACTTCGCAAATAAAATAGTGCGATTCATGTTTTTAAGTTCCATACTTAATTCACTACTTTAAAAATCTGTGTTTGCGGTAGTGTTTAATATCCAATTATCATATTTTCGTAGTAAAGCGTCGGGAAACCTTTAAATACTAATTATTTAAAACACAATGCATCAGCCAGTGTTGCCAGTCTGAGCCAGGAACATCGCATCAGTGCTGACATAATTTCTTGAAAAAATATAGATTTAAAAAAATTAACTGTTAAATTATTATAAAAGTTATTTAATTTAGTAAGAAAAGTTATACCAAAATTTGAAAAAGATATTTTCAAAAATCTAGAATTTAAGCCCTTGCTTTTCAGCTATTAATAAGCTAAGTTGGCAACACTTCCTTGGATATCCTAACAACAAAATGAGGTAAACAACTGGCATATTCGTTTAATCCTCAAAATACTCAACTTAATGGCTCACAGACACCACCTGACAAAGCGACTCCTGCACATCTTTCCTCGTTCCAGTTTCGCCAAGAGAACACATCCTTCCGCGGACCGCAATTCCCAGCCGATTTCCGAGGCTCTTCTGGCGCAAGTTGACCGGGAATCAAAGAACTTGCAGTTGCTGGAGATTGCCTCCGGATCGGGACAACATGCGGGATTCTTGGCACCGCTGCTGCCCAACATCACCTTCCAGCCGACGGAGTACGAGAGGCAGCAGTTGGACTCCATTGCCGCCTACGCAAAGGATTGCCCCACCGGCAACATAAGAGCACCCTTTTGTGTGGACATTACTCAGGACCCCAGAGACTGGGAAGTGCCCCCGACACCAGGCAGCTTCGATTACATGTTTAACTCCAACATGATGCACATCAGTCCTTGGTCCTGTTCGCTGGGACTCTTTAGGGCTGCCGGGCAGCTACTAAAGAAGGGTGGCAGGATGTTCACCTATGGACCCTACGCCCAGGACGGCGTCCTCGTGCCGCAGAGCAACGTTGACTTCGACAGGAGCCTACGGAGCAGAGACGCCTCCTGGGGCGTTCGCGACATCAAGGATCTTAAGGCGGTGGCTCTGGAAAACGGTCTGGAGCTGGAGAAGCTGGTGGAGATGCCCTCCAACAACAAGTTTCTGACCTGGCTTAAGCTGTAAAATAGTGCACTAGATTAAGGCAATTGATCGATTACCCTCTTAGATAACGCCAATGGAGTAGTTAACGTCGTTTATTTCGCGACAATAAAGTTTATTGGGGGCCAGCTCATCAAACTAGGCCAAGTGGACAGTGCGAGGTGAGGCGAGTGTGCAGGGATTGACCCTGAAATCGCGGTTGATAGTCGGTCTGATTGATTGCCGGGCGCTATATAAGGGTGTATCGGGTGGCCCCTTCAGCACAAGCGATCTATCATCGAAGACTCGGACATGGAACGGACCATTCTTCAGCTGCTTCTCATCGGGATCCTCCTGGCGAACCTGAGCCTGGCGGCCACCGTGAGGCGACCACGCCTGGATGGCCGCATTGTGGGTGGCCAGGAGACCAATATAAAGGCCATTCCCTACCAGGTTTCCCTGCAGCGGAGCTATCACTTCTGTGGCGGTTCTCTGATCGCCCAGGGTTGGGTTCTCACCGCCGCCCACTGCACTGAAGGGTCCGCCATACTGCTGTCCAAGGTCCGAATCGGCTCTTCGCGCACTGCCGACGGCGGAGTGCTGGTGGGGATCAAGCGAGTCCATCGGCACCCCAAGTTCGATGCCTACACCATAGATTTTGACTTCTCGCTCCTTGAACTGGAGGATTACAATGCGCAGAATGTGACACAGGCCTTTGTGGGACTGCCCGACCAGGATGCGGACATTGCAGATGGCACTCCTGTACTCGTTTCCGGTTGGGGAAACACGCAAAGCGCCCAGGAGTCCACGGCTGTCCTCCGAGCCGTAACCGTGCCGAAAGTAAGCCAGAGTCAGTGCACGGAGGCCTACGGAAGCTTTGGCAGTATCACGGATCGCATGATCTGTGCCGGATTGCCCGAGGGCGGCAAGGACGCCTGCCAAGGTGACTCTGGAGGTCCTCTGGCTGCCGACGGCATTCTTTGGGGAGTCGTCTCCTGGGGCTACGGATGCGCCAGGCCCAGCTATCCGGGCGTCTACTCCCGAGTGGCTTCGGTGCGCAACTGGATTAGTTCAACAAGTGGTATTTAAATAAATAATAAACTCTATTTTCAACTTTAAGCTTGGTTTATTGTATTTCAATTTCGATTCAGCCTCAGTAACCATTAGAACCCATAGGTATACATATATGCCCAAGGTAGCAATAATTCCAAAAATATTACAAGTTAGAGGTGATATTTGGCCTTATATTTCATCTGTATTTAAAAGCCTGCTTTAAATAGCCAAATTTTATGACTTTTGAGACCAATTTAATCAAAGAACTTGTGGGTCTTGCCTGGGAGGCAGCTGCTCCTCTGTCGGTCCATTCAGCATCATATCCAACGGAAGCAATTGACCCAGAAAAACCTTAAGGCCAAATATTGACACAGTCTACAGAGAGCAGAAGCAGGACTGACCACATCATATCCATAACTGCAGACAGAGACGAATAGCAAATTTACTTAATGATTGGCCCAAAGGCAAATAAAAGTTCACAGGAACACGAACAGGAGAAGCAAAGTTGTCATAGGTAAAGTGAATTGATTGGGGGTAGACTGCCATAAGTTTCCATTTCAAGTGCCACCCAGTTGCCCGATGGTTTTCATCCTTGATTGCTGTGACGCTTTTTGCCTGGAGTCTTTCGTTTTGGTCTTCGCAGACACTTTCCAGGACGCACTAATTGTTGATTAAATGCTGCAAATTGCTGCGAGTGTTCCTATTCTTGCTTGTGTTTCTGCCGGCTTTTCCTGTTGACGTTTTAGGTTACCTTTCACCATCTACGGTTGTCAAGGCGGTTAGCACGGCGACCACAGGTGCTGGAGGGGATCGAGGCGGGGTGCAAATGGTCCGGCAGGTGTGTCGGTGTGCGAACACCGTCGTGTCCTTTGGGTCATTGCAATTTTGCACGTGAACTGGTTAACAGCAAGGAGCCAAACACGAAAAAAGAACTCAAGACATGAACTGCAAATTGAACGGTTATGTCGAGATGGGTTACAAGGCAAACATTCTGTGTGTTGGCGTTTTCCACATTCGAATGAACTCAAGTGGCTTTGGGTAGAGCATACTTTCAGGAGTAGTTAGCTGCTGTTTTTTTATATACCCTTGGAATGGGTAATATAATTCTAGTTAGGCGTTTGAAAACCAGGAAAGATGACGCCTTAAGTAAATGTATTCATACGTCATCATCATTGTTACATTGAATTTTGATTCGACTCTATTAGTAAATTATTAATATATAAATAAATAACTCCAATATACAGCTTAGTTACCAAATAACTATTTTATTAAGAAACTGTTCCCTGCTTCCTTGCTTGCACTTATTTATATTTTTATACCCTTGCAGGGTATTATAATTTCAGTCAGATGTTTGCAACGCAGTGAAGGAGTCGTTTCCGACCCTATAAACCATATATATTCTTGATCAGCATCAACAGGGGAATCATTCTAGATATGCCAGGAAGAAATCGATTTTTGTCCATTTTTGCAAAATTTTATAAGGGGTTACATCATTAAAATTTTTGATTTTGATAAAAAATTGAATTTTCAAAATTTTTAAATGAAGTATGCAGATTTATTAACTGTAGAAAATCTTGCACAGAACAGTTTTCCGATTTAAAATTAATGCTCTTTTGGCCGAGTTATGATAATTTTAAATTTAAAAATGTATAAAATAAATCAAGAAGTTTTTTAATATAAAAAATCAGATTTTATAATACAAAATAATATTTTTCTAAGTCAAGGAATCATTTCCGACCCCATAAACCATATATATTCTAGATCAGCATAAACATGCGAATCTTTCTAGACATGTCCGGAAGAAATCGATTTTTTGGCCATTTTTGCGAAATTTGATAAGGGGTTACATCATTAAAATTAGCAAAAATGTCCAAAAATTTTGATTTCTTAAAATTTTAAATTTGGTATGCAGTTTTTTTAAAGTAATAAAAACTAACACAAAACTGCTTTCCGAATTGAAATTAATGCTTTTTTGGCTTAGCTATGTTGTATTTTAATTGTTACCTGCAAGGGTATACAAGCTTTGGCTGGCCAAAGTTATCTCTCTTTCGTGTTACATGATGATTTGATTAAGTTTTTAAAAAAAGTGTTCGACAGATGGCTTTGAAATATTTTTACACATTTTTCTTTAAATTCTTTTAAATCCTGTTTATCAGTTGCCTCTAATATTGAGGATGTTGTAAACACTTATCCCACAAACGCCTACATCAAGTATATAATGGCGCAGTTGCACGTCCACTTCAGAATTTATGGCTTGTATTAATCATCTGTAATAATAAAAAATTGTGGTTATCGCCATTTCTGGCGAATTTCGATTTCATCCGAACTTTGCGTTTTATATTTCAGCTGTTCACAATTTTGCAGGTTGAGTTGTTTCGCAGCAAGTTCTTGTTTTCTAAAGGAACTTCACTATATAATATACTTAATTCGTGTGTTTTATTGGAAAAATTCACAAATTTTAATAATCGCTATTATAAAAAATAATTAAATATAGAGTATACAAATTATTTATAAATTTGTTATATAAAAAGAAGTATAATGTAATTAAATCTAACAAATTATATATATGTAAGTACCTTATTTTTCAAGGTCCGATTGACATCTCTGAGTTTATCCTTTAAAGTTCTTGAGCCTTTTTCAGGAGATTCGACCTCCACTAACGACTTGTGGCAGTACTTGAGCCGCTTTTGTTATTGTTTTTCTGGCTTGGTTTTCCCATTTCCCCTCTCTTGTTTTCCCTTTTTTTTCCACTGTTTGTTGTTCATGGGAGCCACCGAGACATAGAAAATGTAAAATTTGTTTGTTTCCTTTCATTGTTGTTGAAAGTTTTTGCAGCTGCTGCAGACAATGCAATGAGTGGGGTCCTGTGTAGGAGCCCCTCTTCGCTCTCTAATTTTATCTCTTGGCCTGCCATGGGGACTGTCTTATTATTAGAGTTTGTCGATTTGTTTGTATTGAAGTCTGCATTGTTGTTCTCCTAGCTGGTCCGAAGGCGGACTTGTGTGTAAGTCCAGCTGGCCCAATAACATTCGATTGCAATAAATTATTCTGCAGCTTTTGTAATTTGTTATGGGAACGACAAATATTGTCGGTAGCATAAAAAATCCATTGAAAACTTGTTTATGCAATGACAGAAGGCATGCTAATGAGGGGGTCCTTGCTTCCTTTCTACCTTACCAGGTATGTACATTTAAGTTAAACTGTGATCTATTAAAAATATTCAAAAATGATAGGGGAATTTAAATAAAAAATATGTGAAATGGGTTCAAGTTGCTAAATATTCTCCACTTCCAGGCTAGGCTACAAATATATAATAGAAAAATTAAGTACATCTGCTTCTGGGCCGCTGCGACTTGCCTATGGCTGAGTCTGATGGCCTACGCGGCGTATGCTTGATCTGCCAGGATGCTGCCTTAGCTCGCTGTCGCTGCGAGTGTGTGGGTTTTTTATGGAAATAATATTCTTGTCAGGATTAAAAAGGATACGTGACCGGAATACGAGTGCAATGTGCAAGCGGAAATGTGGCCGGGGCCAGCAAGGAGCGGAACAAAAAGCGGAAAAAGTAGACAAACAGGAGCCGCAACAGGACTAAAATGTAACTGTCAGACTCGTCGACTTTTGCTATCGTTGTCGCCTGTCGCATATCTGTATCTATGCTTGTGTTTGTATTTGTCTTGCCAGCCCCCTGAGCCACTTCCCCCACCGCCATCATCATCATCATTTTGATGCTTATCCTTGCTTATTGTCCTGTCAGAAAAGCTCGCTGCTCCTTGTTTTTCACTATATTTTTTTTTTGCTCCTTTTAATTTTTAAGAAAGCATATTGTAATTCCGTTGTTTACCTGTTTGGACACACGGATACACGTATTTTTTTGTTAAATCTCGACCGCAGGCGATCCCTGTTCTTTTTTTATGTCAGATTGGAGTGCCAGGGTCCCCTCTTACTGGCTCCTTGCCACTGCACTTAGTCATTTGTGCTGCCATTTGTAATATTCCCTACGCATCCTTGACAGCAGCTTAGGATTCTGGTTGCCACAACTGCTTAGCTATTCGTGACATGTCCTGGGCAATGGCCACGATTGTGATGTATGATTTTCAATTTCACCTACGGCAAGTCCTCTTCTAATTTACTTGGCTTGAAAACAAAAGAGAAAATGGAATACTTTGCTCTGGAGCTTATCCCGGGTTTATCAGGGAGGATTAGCTACGTGTTCTTCAAATATTCGTATTAATTTAAGTTGAGAGAAGTGTTTGGAAAACAAATACATGTCATACTAGTACCACTTTGGTGGGAATCTATACATTTTTAAGTATATTTAATTTATTAGAAAACGCACCATGTCTCATAATTTTGATTAGATTATTACAAGCTAAGTTCTACAAATATCGATTTTAATTATCTTTAACTTTATCTTTTGCAATCACCGGCATTATAAACATGTTTTCTAAGGGATTTAAATATCGTTAACAATAATAAAAATCCCCAAATAACCAAATGTAGGTCAGTCTTATCAATTTAGGCTCGAATATGGGTTAAGAATGAAATCTTATACGAGGAAATATAGAGCAAATCTTGCACTTGATGAACTCGTTCATAGCGTCATCTTTTATTATATTGTGTTTGCATTATGCTTACTGAAATTATATTTCTGATTGCCGTCAGATTGTTAGACGTCGAAGTAACTTTTATTTTCTGCGCTATCTTACACCTATATTAATCTCTATAAATCATTGTTCATTTAAGTAGTTTTTCGTTGGAAACCCATATTTGTTTAGGGACTGGAAAATAGTGCATTCCATCGATCAATAGAAACCCCCTTTATTGATGTTTAGTCAACATTCCGAATACGTTACCCTGACTCAAACAGGCTAAGAGTCGTGTTGATAACGAAATCTTATCTATATCGCCGGCATAAAATCGGCTTTTATTATGGGAAAGAGGCCGATAAATGCGCAGCCATAGGGTGCACTTAAATCAGTTTCCCTTTGGACAGCTTGTCGAACAGTTGTACTGAAATAATAAATCGCGATCGAAATGTGGAAGAAAGTGACTTTCTGTGTGGTCCTTGTGGCCTTTCTGGGTGTTCAGTTTGGTGAGAGAGAAATGTGACACTCTCCTGGAATCCTTACTAATGGAATATTTATTATATCCTTAGCCGATGCGCTGACCTGCTACAGCTGTAACACCGTCGCAGGATGTCGCAACCCCTCGACCCAAACGTGCACCAATGCCACGGCCAATGCCAATAGGGAGTATCTGGCGACGATTCACAGCGATGTGCCTACTGTGAACGGCAGCTTGAGCTTCTTGTGCGCCAATTCCACCTACTACTATTCCCAGAGTATGTATTTACTTGTTCCATAAGTCAGCGAACTATATCTAATCTACGCTTAATTCCGCTAGACAATTCTCACAACTCCGAGTTCCTGGGCTGCGTATTCCCTGCCACGAATATCTGCACGCTGAATTTGACCAACACAGCCAACCAGAATAGCTGGAGCAGGCACTGCTCCACCTGCAACACCGACTACTGCAATCCAGCGGGAACCTTCAGCGGCAGCACCTACACCATCTTGGGATCTGCTGTTGCCCTGCTCCTGGCTAAGATCCTCAGTTAGGCTACCAAAACACAAATTCCAGATGTAATTATTTAAATAAAATAATATTTACCAAACCTTAAATTAAAAAGTGCAAAGAGTTTGACTCAAGTATAACGTTCTTGATAAGTCTGGTATAATGAGTATAATATATTTGGTTGAATAGAGATTTTAAGAAGTCATTGACAGAATACACCGTTGCTATTGCTCACCATTAACCCTCGAGTATATAGCAATGTTTACTCGAACTTTTATCTATCAAATTTTGTATTTTTTTTAAAGGAAGTACGTTTTTTTATGGTTTCAATATAATCATTCAATTGCCCATAAAGTCCAAGTTTTTTAATTCCTTAGAAAAACTAAGGAAATCCTGTGTTGCTTTTATGGTTATTAATGTCAAATTAATAACTTGGAAGATGATAATAAATCTTAATAGCTTGATAAGAATTGCACTTACGACATATTTTTTTAATTTTCAGCTTATTGAATTTGTTTATTTATATATAAGTAAGCTTCACAAACATGTTTAAAAATATAATATGATAATATTAATATGATAATATACCATCCCTGATTGAAAGTAGTCATTGTGAATAAGATTTACTAAATTATCGCTTGAATTGCTTAGAATGACTCAATGTTGGGCATTTTGTTGATTAAACGGTTGCCAAGTAGCTTGGAAGCTTTCAAAACAATTCCCCTTTTCTATTGCTATCAATATTACGTATATGCCAGGTGAATTAAGATTATAAATATACTGCGGCTGGTATATAGATAAGGTAAATAATAATCTATAGATAAGCACTAATCATAAAAAACAGACCGCTCTTTAGTCAGGAATGAAATTGTTAAGCTATGACGAGGCTTCGGATCAGTTGGCTAGGTTTAAAAGAATTAATAGATAATACTTAAAAAACTCCATAATTTTCTTAAGAATATTATGATAATTTAAAATTAGTTTTTTTCTTAGAGTTTAAATCCTTAAAACCCTTGGTCTATAAACCAAATTGAAACATCTTGAATATTTATGATGTCGTCTCGACCAATTCAATTGCCATGGAAAGGGGAAACCCTTTCAATGCCCCATTGAAACTTTTTCGCAATCTCCTAACGCTATAAAAGAGGCGATAATCTTATCTGTAAAAGTACTCAAGCTTATCGCAAGACTCTTCTCCCTGTTGAGTGAGACGCGAAAAGTTAAGAGAAATACCTTATAAAAGAGTGGGTAAAGTCTCAGCATGGTTTAGTCTAAAGCAAAGGGGCTAATAGCTAAGATCGTGTCACTGTGTCTGTAGCCAGTTCAAAAAATATATCTTGCAAAATGAATACAAAGGCAGTAATTGTTAGTGTGCTGGTTGCCATCGTCTGTGTACAGTTTGGTGAGTAATAGGTCAAAAAACTTATACTAGATTTACTAAATTTATATTTATTATAAATTAAAGCCAACTCCCTGGTGTGCTACACCTGCGTTACACCGAAGGACTGCAAGAGCCCCAAGAAAGTAACCTGCACAAATGCGGCTGCCAACGAGACCAGTAACCACCTGGAAGTTTACCACCAGAATGTTCGTAACGCGACCAGCACGCGGTTCGATTGTCTGGCCCTGAAATACACCTGGAGTGAGTAGTTCGAGTCTCGATAAGTCCCAACGAAAATCTCTAAAATGCACACCTCTCTCCAGACAACGATGTGATCCATCAGCTCCATGGCTGTGTCCATCCGGCAGTCGGACCCTGCAGCTTGACCCTGAAGCCGGCCTATGGCCACTACAATAAGACGAAATGTCTGACCTGCTCCGGCGATAAGTGCAACAAGAGTCCCGCCGGAAAGATGAGCAGCAGCACTGTGACCATTGCGGCTAGCGTGTTTGGTCTCTTGCTGGTCAAGATCTATGTGTAGAAGACAAGCCTGTATTAATTTAGTGATGAGCTAAGAACAAGAGATCGGAGTCGTCTGTTAATAAATTAATTCTTTTTTTAGATGTTTTTGTACAACTTTCATGTGCTTCTTATCAAATGGCTCGATTAGATTGACTTCTTGGACTTTCCGTGCGTTCACGTTTTAATATTTCACAAGTCCCTAATCAGTTTTTGATTAAAATTTATGATTGCGTTGATGTGTGGCTCGGCTTAGCTTAGAACTAAGTGCCGAGACATTTTTTGCAAGAATAAAATAAAAAACAAGAAAGGAAGTTAACTTCGGCACGCCGAAGTTTGTATACCCTTGCAGATTGGTTTTCATATTTATATCATAAATTATAATGCCGAAAACAGACACTAAACAGAGTTTCATAACATTTTATCTATACTTATTATGTTTACAGTTTGAAAGTTACAGTTATACATTCCCAGCTTTACATTTTCTCTACATCTACGGATCGCTTCTATGGCAGCTATACACAGAAAAAATTCTGGTGGGTTAAATGAACAATTTCTTTTGGTTGAATAACAGTGAAGCTACTGTCAATGTATTTTGTTGTTGGATTTGGTGACTGCACGACAGTTTATATGACAGTCAATTACAGTCACCCTTACGTACGAGATTCTGTGTGTTTTTTGTTGTTGGCTTTGCGAACTGTCGTGACTGTCAGCTGCAGTCAAAATACTGTAGGTTTTACGTAAAAAGTTTTATGTGTTTCTTTATCTTCTTTGGTATCGTGTATGTATTTTTGCATTACTAAGGTAAGTAACATTAACATTTTATAAGTTTATTAAATATTTTATGAAAATCCATAACTTTTTCTGCCCACTAAAATACTTTCTGGTATAATTCTGGTATATATTTCTAAACTTCTAGTATATTGCAAACGTTTCTTGAAAAAACGATTTCGGGCACACTTAAAAAGCGGCGTCGGTTTCGAGAAGTTGTGCAGCGAAAAGTGAAGTGAAAAAGTTAAAAGTAAAAGTTATGAGTGATATTGACCTTCCTTCTTCTGGAGGAGTGGGATTTCAGAGACTTATTGCCCACATTTCTCGGTAAGTTCCCAAACAATCATTTAAAGATCCGCAATTGGCGAATGTACATATGTATGTATATGTATTTATGCATACATATACATATATGTATGTATGTACATATGCAAGTACACGTACGCCGCTGATCGCAAGAAGTAACGCTTTTAAAAGTAAAGTTAGTGTACAGATTAAAATATATACATATGTACATATATGCATATATGTAAAATCTTATATTTGGCACTGATCTTTGATTGCCTCTCTTTATTTTACAATTTAAATAGCGATCAGCGGACATGTACATGCATGCAAATGTATTTTTTGGCTTCTTGTTGACTTGCGATGGCAACCATCTCAGGCGAGTGCGAGCAAGATAGCTGGCACTGACATCCAAAAACCGTTTGTTTTATATCTTATTATGATATACATATATAATTAAATCTTTTATACTTTTCTATTTTGTTTTCAGGTGAGAGTATACACATGTAACTATAAAACATAACTATGTAAATGGAATCAACAAAATGTAAGTAAAATATTTGGCCGTTTTCTATTAATTTTAATAAACAAATTTACTTAAATCAATTTTTATTTCAGAAAAGCTATAGTCGAGACAAAAGTACCAGTTCGGATGTGAAATATGGACTAATATATATTTGTGAGTATTGATAATCATCGTTTGACTTAATATTTATTTATTAATAAATTTACAATTTTAATATTTAATTTATTTATTCATCATATAGGAAATATATATATATAAGTCCATAATATTATTAATTAAGACCCTCTGTAAATATTTTTAAAGAATAAGTAATTAAAAAAATATTATTAATTAAGACCCTCTGTAAATATTTTTAAAGAATAAGTAATTAAAAAAATACTATTAAAATTTTAAAATAATTTTTGGTTTTATTTTGGTGGTAATATGAACTGCAATTACTGTAGTCGGGGGTAGTCTACAGTAAAATAGTAAAATAGTGTATTTCACAATTTTCGTGGTTTGGCGCTTTTTAACCGCAAAATCGTGGTTCCATTTACTGTAGAGCAGTACATGTTACGTAACGCGTTACGTCGTTATACTGCAGCGTACAGTTCATGGAACCCAAGATTTTGGTTGTTACCTTTTAACCCACGAAATGGTTAGATTTACCCACGATAATTTTTTCTGTGTATGATATAGTCGTCCGATTTTCATAAAATTTATACCAAAATTCTGATAAAATACCAGAAGCTCATGTCTCAAATTAGATTTAAAATTTTTTTCTAATATTTTAACTTTTTTTTTAGATTTTTAAAATTTTTTTTAGAATTTAAAAAATTTTTTTAAATATTTTAACTGCCAAATTTGAATTTGAATTTAACTGTCAAATTTGAATTTGAATTTAACGACGATCAATTTCAGTGTGCCCAGGTGCAGTTGTAAAATAAAACCTAAATTTGGATTCAAAAGGTTTGAGTCTGCGCTAACTTTCGCCGGCTCCGAAATGGTTTGAAACTTGGACAAAATTTACAATATGGTCACACTGGCACGTTTTTTGTGGCCCAAAGTTTTTATAACAGTTTATACCAGTTTTCAGTTGCTTGCTGCTGATTTCTGTTCGCCTGGTATCCCAATTTGGGAAACGGGCAATTTGCATGGAAATGTTCGGAAATTTGGATTGGCTGCTGTAGGGATGTTATTGTAAAAAGGTTGTTGTTGCCATAAGCTGTTGTTGTCAGCAACAAATAGGTATAAATGCATAAAATGAAATATAACAGTTTATGCCAATTATTATTTTTGCCCAAATGTTTTTATAACAGTTTATACCAGTTTTCAGTTGCTTGCTGCTGGTTTCTGTTCGCCTGTTACCCCAGTTTGGAAAGCGGCCAAATCGAATGAAAAAATTTGCTCACTTGCATCAGTGATGCTCATCTCCATCAGTGATGCTCACTTCCATCAGTGATGTTCACTTCCATCAGTGATGCTCACTTCCATCAGTGATGTTCACTTCCATCAGTGATGCTCACTTCCATCAGTGATGCTCACTTCCATCAGTGATGCTCACTTCCATCAGTGATGCTCACTTCCATCAGTGATGCTCACTTCCATCAGTGATGCTCACTTCCATCAGTGATGCTCATCTGCATCAGTGATGCTCATCTAGCTATATTGCAATATTGGGAGGCTATAAAATCGGGCTTAATGGCAGTGATGCTCATCTGGCTATATTGCAATATTGGGAGGCTATAAAATCAGACTTTGCATCAGTGATGCTCATGTAGCTATTTTGCAATATTGGGAGGCAATATATCAGACGTAATAGCAGTGATGCCCATCTAGCTATATTTCTTTATTGGGACAAAATAGATAGATGAGCATCACTGATGCAAAGTCAGATTCAGTGTGCCCAGGTGCATTTAACCAACATTTTAGCCAAAAAATGTACAATATGGTCACATCTGGTTTGAGTCTTCGCTTACTCCAAGATCAATGGTTCGAAACTTGGACTTTTTTTTAACAGTTTATACCAGTTTTCAGTTGCTTGCTGCTGGTTTCTGTTCGCCTGTTACCCCAATTTGGGAAACTGGCAATTTGCATGGAAAATTTCAGAAATTTGTATGGACTGCTGCAGGGATGTTGTTGTAAAGGGGCTGTTGTTGCCATCAAGCTGTTGTTGTCGGCAACAAATAGGTATAAATGCATAAAATGAAATATAACAGTTTATACCAATTATTATATTTGCCCAAAAGTTTTTATAACAGTTTATACCAGTTTTCAGTTGCTTGCTGCTGGTTTCTGTTCGCCTGTTACCCCAGTCTGGAAAGCGGCCAAATTGAAAGAAAAATTTTGCTCACTTGCATCTGTGATGCTCATTAGCATTATTAAAAAATTAAAGCATACTTTTGGGGTTTTCTATTAAAAACGTGGCATCTTTTAGGCGGAAGTTCAGATTACAGTTTGATAAGCACTGGTCCAAGTGAGCTTCAACTTTTACAGTTTGACAAGCACTTTTCGGATAATATAAAATGGCCATATCTAAAAAATGGTGAAAAAATGTTGAAAAACAGCTAAGTTATAATTTTTTTTCTAAAAATTTATCGATCATTTGTATGGGAGCTATATGATATAGTCGTCCGATCCGGTCCGTTCCGACATATATAGCAGTGAGAGTATATATAAGACTATATGCAAAGTTTCATTCAGATAGCTTTAAAACTGAGGGACTAGTTTGCGTAGAAACGGACAGACGGACAGACGGACGGACAGACGGACGGACAGACGGACGGACAGACGGACAGACGGACATGGCTAGATCGGCTCGGCTGTTGATGCTGATCAAGAATATATATACTTTATAGGGTCGGAAAGGTCTCCTTCACTGCGTTGCAAACTTTTGACTGAAATTATAATACCCTGCAAGGGTATAAAAAACCTAGGTAGTAGATGAATCAACAAGCTAATACTATTTATAATCGACGTCTTAAAGAGTTTCCAGCTTGTAGCTTTTAAAATTCAAGAGTCCTAATGTCATTTGAGTAGACGTTTAAAATTTAAAGTACGCTAACATTTCCGATTTGTCATTATGAACATTTAGTATGTGGTAAAAATTTGCCTGTCTTATTGGTCGCCCGGAAATGATTTGGCCAATGGAAAGACTGTCGCCTCTTCGGGTTGCAGCATTAGTCATCGAGGGAACTCTCCACATTTCAGACTGTCACTTAAATTGGCAAACTATCCCAGGGAAAGATGGCAAAGTACGGAAAACATGAATAAATCTTTAATATTGTTGCCGGCCGCCTAAAAGGCTGCCACACTTTTGCCTGTCGAACATCATCCGCTGGGCCGTGTTGGAGCTGCAGTCGGGCATTTAATTGATTGATTGTTGCTCGTCTATGTCTGCATCGATTTGGCCATGTTCCCCGTCCCGTTTGAGCCCCTTTTGGCTGTTTCATAACCAAATCGGAGGGCCATTCCCTACCTTCGGCGCCCATCATCTCCTGTTCCGTTATCAAATCGACTTCGTGGCTCTGTGCGCCATGTTGTTGCTGCTGCCAATTAGTGTTGGTGCGTCATCTGTGTGTGCCATATGAGTGTGTGTGTGGGTGCAGTCATGTGTGTCCCAGTGTGTGTGTGCTTGCCATCAATTAATTTTTGTATTGTTGTAACCAAGCTTTTTTTTCGGATTTTTGCTGCACTCGTTGGGTTACGTGGGGGAATCCCTGTTGACTGATTGGTTTCTTTTCGATTCAATTGTTTTCCGTGTGTGAGGGGAATGGGAATGGATGTGTTTCCTAAACAAAGTTATGGTTATGGATTAGACATCCGGTGTGGGGTGAACAAAGCCAGCGTAGGTGTTTCTTTACATCGATACAAGGTCGTCATACAAAAATATGAAAACTATAAATATACTTTCAGATATGTATTTTTAACAAGACAACAATATGTATAGCTCCATATCCTCTATGTTATTATTATATGTTATTATTTATTGTAAATACTTTTATTTTATATAAAAACCCCATCTATTGATAGCTAAATTTCCTCTACTAAAAACCATAAGAACCGTATCCCCACTTGTCTCCACAACTCCGATTGCTATGCTCCCCCTTCAGTTTCCGAAACTTCCGAGAAACTCCCAGAAACTAAATTAAGTTCAACTTCAACTACAAAATGTACATTTGATTTATGCATTGAGAGACCGTGGACCGAGCCCACCACCCAACGGCAGGACCCCACTCCTCGGGAAACGTAGACGGGAACCCTCTGATAACTAAGCCAAACCTATTCAACTTTCACGTTCGCATTGTTTGCACGAGCACGAAAAGTTATTAAGATGCATAGACGTGATTTTGCATGTTTTAAAAAAGAATACATAATGCCACAGATGAAGCTGGGAATAGGGGGCGGAATCAGAGGGGGAGACTGGGATCTTGACTTGCACTTTAAGTACTCTTAATTTACTAAACAAATTTTCAGCGCTACGACCCAAAATGTTGCATTCAAGAGGCCAAAAATGGAGGCCCGAAACTTACTCGAAAACTCCCCCCGCAAAGACAAACTCATTGACATGCCTGAGACACGAATTGAATTAAAAGTTTGGGCTTTTCCGCGGAAATAGAATAACGAGAAGTTTCATTGTTTGGCTCCCGCTAAAAAAGTTTGCCGCATTTAAATTGATTTGTAATTCGCGGTTAATTTCATTTTTTTGTACCTTCTCCTCCTCGTTCGTTGGTCACTTTTATTCAAGTTAAAATGGTTAGTTTTTGTTCCCTTTTTCCATTTTATTAATATTGTAATTTGGCACGGAATGCCTGACAGTTATTTGGCGTTGCAGTGAATGAATGTTGCAAATTAAATCTGTATTAAAATTTAAAATTGCCGCAAAATGTCTGCGGTGTGGCTAGGCGCTTTGGGAAGTTTTGGAATTTAAATCAAAGAAGGCTATTTGAATAATGATGCTGAAATGACATGCTGACATTAAAGGTAGAACAAATAATTGAACATTTTGCATAAATTTCGATTTCATTGTTCACAGAATTATTAATAGGCATCTATGAATTATTCACATTCCCATTAATTTTTGTACTTAAATATTCAAGAAATAATCTAAGCCCAACGCTCAGTTCAATTAGCATAAATAGCTTTGTGATTTTAAATCTATTAGCTTGGCGTTTAATTTTTTGATAGTTTATTTTTGAATAATAAACATATGAATATATCTGCAGAAATAAAAAGAAAGTTCAAAATATTTATTTATATTTCCTTGTCTGTTTATTCTGATTTTGTCCAGCTTCCAGGCGA